TATTAACTCTAGAAAGAAGTAGAAAGTCCCACATTTATTGGAAAACCCTCAGGCAAATACTGAAGGAAAGAGTTTGATATCCTCTTAAGACCTGATAACATCTGTTAATGAAAACCTATAATGTTTACTGATGGAGTCTTTAATTAACCAGAGGAAAGGGAGACTACAGCAGCTGAATTGGTCTTGGTCTTCCGTGCTGAGCAGCACACCTTTAATGACAGTTTTGGCCCTCTTTAGCCAGCGTCTGTGACGAGGCATGCATTAACTCCAAAGTCAGCAAAGGGCAGGTGCCCTGCAGGAGCTCAACCCAACCCACATCACTCCACCCTGCCTGCTAAGTGGCCCTAAACCAGCAGCCCGCAGGCTCCAAAGAGACAGCCAGACACTTCTCCACAAGACATGAGCTAATCCTATTTCAGAGTGACTGCAGTAACATGATAAAGAAAAAGCATCTTGCCTGCGTTACCAAACTGTAGTGCTGGTTGATGTATTGTCTATACTGGTACACTGGAATTGGCATCACACAACATTACTGATTTTTAGTTTTAGCTGTATTGATGGATAACTTTAGTAAACTGCAGTGTATGTCATTTGCTGGGGGCTTCAGATTGCTTTGAATGAACAGTTCAAAACACATCTACCTAAATTAACAGCAAGTTTCCTGTCTGGAAATTTGTTTTCTGTCTGGTTAACATTTACAATCTAAACAAAATGGTCTGGATCAAACTGGTTCGGTTCGTTTGCGGTGTGAAAACATTTTTTGGATGGTTCAGACTTTCGGACAAGTTACAGGAAGTTGAGGCGGGTTATCGCTACCCATTTAACAACAGAACAGGAAACAGAAGAAGGAGAAAAGCAAAATTGAGCCGCGTTTGTGCACGGAGAGGAGAGACAAGATATTTAATTGTAATTAAGTAAAAAAGTCAAAAGTCAACTTGGTAAAAAAAATTTATATTTATAAATATATTATTTTCTGAGAGGATGAGAGAGAGGACCCCCCCCCATATTTCAAACAGAAAAGGCTTCCCGCCGACTTGACAAGAGGCCAACATCAGACGCTCCGCTAAAAACCAATCGGTGTCAGGCATAGGGAGACGCAGCCCATGTAGGTAATGAAGACAGGATGTAGGTATGTCATGCAAAGTTCTTCAGTGTGCTCGCTAAATTGCAATGTGAAACCAAAACTAGCCGGATTAAATGTATACAATGCAACACAAACATGAACCTTGGTTTGGACGTGTAAAAACGCCCTAAATCATCGTGAATGACTTTGTGTACATCTTAACCATTGCATTATACAAACATTTTACAAACATTTTACAAACTTTTAAAAAAATTCCGCTTTAATTATCACCTGACACTGTGACAAACTCACTGAACTGAATACTACAATACTACCCAGCGTAACCCAGTCTCACAACAGATACTGAAGTACCAAAAGCCCATTTTAAAGTTATATAACAAGTCTAGGTTCTGTAAAGTCAAACTTTCCCTGAAGCAGCCCAAGGGTCAGGCCATACAGTCAATGGCCACTGAGAATGCTCATGTTTTATTCATGTGGGACCCAAGGTCCAAAGACTGCCATGATCATGGAAACATTTGATGCGCTCATTAGATTTCAAAAAAGGTCACTTCATTTTCCTCCCCGACTCCAACTGCACCGCTCTAATTTCCCTTCTGATGGGGGGCCGTAACCTTTCTAGCAGCAGGTGTGGACAGCGGACCCTGCTGTGTGGGCAGGCTGGGACCGCTGAGGAATGCTGTTCTGGGACCAGTCAGGCCAAAACACCTGCAGGACATGTACGACTCTGAGCAGCCTCAGTGCAAAAAACCATTACAGAGGGCACAACTGGACAGTAGACAGCAGGCACTGCAATCAACAACGTAGATTCTTTACAGGGTTAAAGGATGGAGACACTCTTAATCACAGGGTTTTAGCCCTAATTAAGATTTGCACAATGCCTAGTAGTTATCTCACTGACAGGGGCATAATTATGATAATGTTATTCATCTATTATTGACATTCATTTGGTGCACATGACCATAAAAAAGTGCACAGAGGTCACAAAGCCTCAATGTGCACAAAAGCAATGACATTCAGTCACGGTAATCTCTGTTCACTTTTATTATACTGGCAGCAACAGCAAAACCATAGTCTCTCACAAAATTTTCAAAATAAAAAAATATATACTGTATAATTTATTGTCTTCCCTGACAAAAAGAAAGAAAAAAAGAAAGAAAAAAGAACAGATAAACAGTTAAATTAACATCAGCCATCTAGTTCCACTTACACTACGGAATGTGCCATCACTGGATAGAGTCATACAGTTTCTTTAGGGAACGTACACTAGCTGTACAGGAATACAAATACAGCTACACATAAATACTCCAATTTATCAGGTATCATATCCATGTGGACATTACAAAATAAATAAATAAATACATAATGTATTGTTTAAAGTAGTCTTCTAATTTCAAAAGCAACTGATGTCCCCACAAATGCACTTCAAGGCAAAAGATATGGTTTGCATTTTGTCTTTTCGTCTCATTTTCTGTACTTATTATCTAACGCACATCTACTAGGCTAGTTGTTTTTCTGTGATGTAAAGAGCAGTGAAGTCCAGCATTTTTATTTTACAGGGTTCAGACATCCACCAGCAAATAAAGGAGGCTAAAAGCAAACGGACAAGAAAACAGAAACTGTTTCTCATGTAGCCGTTAAAACATCACTCAAATAAATATAAAGCTTTTTTTCCCCATAAAACCACATTTCACAAAGAAGTCAGCTACTGTTAAAATTCTCTGGGATGTTAGAAGCAACTGTTTTCAGCTTATCACATTGTTGACCTCAATCAACCGAACCGAAGTATGAAATATGCTGAAGACTTTTCAATTTTAAAATATTGAACAAAACATTTACACTTGTCTAATTTATATTTACGTAGCCGGCTTGTATAGAGAAAGTCAAATCACAGAAGAGGACAAAGATGAAACGGGTAAAACAATATAAAACTTTTGCAAAGAGAAACAGAAGAAAAATAAAACCACTGAAGAAAATTACAGTACTAAACCTTTTTATATTTTGCTGAATATACATCACTTCCAAAGTCAAAAGAAAGAAAGAACTATGAAGCATATATGATACAGCACTGTGCAAAAGCTGAGACCCCCCTTCATTTACTTAATGTTCAGTCCAAATGGCCAAATGGTACAAGTTATTCATTAGATATTTCTTTGTAGATTAGACATACAATAATTAATCAAGGGGAAAGTTACCAAATCTGGAGTTCAAAAAATGATTAAAAGATACAGAGAAAATGGGACTCCTAACAACTGTGCAAGACCTGGTAGACCACCAAAAAGGTCACCATTTTACAGCACTTAAACCTTTCATTTTTGAGAAAGAACAACTCAATGCTGTGGGTCTGAAAGGATGTGTAGGTGTCAAAAAGTCATTACTGTGAAAAAGAAATACTGCAAATTAAACAAAGAAGCTGCTGGTGTTCGCAGAACAATGGACTGTCCAGAGTTCAACATCACTGAATGTGTTTTAGATTACTTGTATGTCGAGAAGCAGAAAATGCAACCAACTTCTAAGACTGAACTTTGGAGGTGTAGAAAAAAGATCCCTGCAGATTTTTCTGAAAAACTGAAAGCAAAAGAATTGAACCTGTAAAAAAAGTGGAAACATTAAACGCTTCCCCCCCCCATACTGAAATATGAATAACTAATACTAAATGGCCATTTTGACTAGAAATGAAATTAATGATGGTCTTAGACTTTTGCACAGTACAGTACAGAAAATGAACTTGATTTTTGTGATTAAAGGAGAGGTTTGATTTGCTGTATCACTTTTAGCAAAACTGAATTAAAAAAATACATTTACAGAAATATAAGAACTAGTCAAAACATAAGAAAAACAAGTCATATTCATATGAAACAAATTAAGAAAAATCCCTACTGCATAAAAGTAAAAACATTTGTTTAAAAAAATATTACACAAAGTTCTCTTCCAAAACATCTTAGGCACAGACAGAGATAAACCTATACCGGAAATTACAGGTGCAAACAAAATGACCCCTGCTTGCATACCAGGAAACGTGAACTTCAAGTGAACTTTCTGCTGATTAAACCACTTGCTGTATTGTGTGTTTTTTAGGGGTCACAGAATCACTGCAGGCAAACAGGTCTAATTACATACAGCCATGGTATACACCACTGAAAACTAAGGTACAATTCACAACTACTACAGGCATTGTTTATATTGTGCGTATGTGATATTTCAGCATCTCTACTAAAAAAAGATCAAAATTTGGAATGCATATTAATAAATGTCTTGGATCAACTGCTTTTGCCCTTTGCTACACCTTGTTCAACTCAGACGTTCCTATGCAATACCTTGTAATAGTCTTTTTGCTGTACCTGCTTTTGAGTCCATCTAAATTCAAGACACAATGTGCTATACTAAGAAAACTAGCAAGGGTCTTTGCGAGGAAAGCGCATGATTGTGCCACATGGCTCAAATCTGCTCTTTTACTCTGACAGAAACCTTTCTTGGAATGACAAAAAAGAAACAGTTCACTTGTGAACAATGTCCTTGAGCCACAATCTTCTTTGTATAGCAGCCGTTTTGGTACAGAATGAAACTCAATGTAAAAAATATATTCATCAGAATCTAAAAACATCTACAAGATATAAACAATGAGCATGTGCCTGACTCAGAAGGTGCCATCTGCATCCAGAGAGAGACATCAATAACAGGGGAGTCAAACTGGTCCCCACTCTTTGGGGAAGTTGACCTCAGCTTTGACATTTCCACATTTTTGCTTACAAACGTTCTAAAAACTGTGTGTCAAACAGATCATCAGGTCATGCCCACCAGTCATTTAGTGATATTTACAGAAGCAAGGCAGGTGCTGCTTTATTATTTACAGGGAATGTAGTCAACTTATGCTGAAAACGTCCATCCACCAGCTTGGAGTTTAGATACAATTTGGTGTGATGCCACTAGGTAGAAGCCTTTCTTTGCCAGTCATCAACAATTTTAAATCACTGTTGAAATTAACCATTTCAATTACTTTAAACTGATCCTTTCTTCTTCTGCAATAGATCCTTTAAGGTTTAGCAGCTTAAGTTCATCTCCAGCAACTGTCTTCATATTGAACATGAGTTCGCTCTCTTCCTTGGCTTTGGCTCTCTGAAGTCCTTGTCATCATGAGCACAAGGGCTGAAAGAGCAGGAGGAACAGAGCGTCTGCGAGAGCCTACGCATGCCTAGCCGGAACACGCTGTTGGACAGGCTGTAGATGACGCAGTTGCAGAAGCTATTGCTGATCGCTAACCAGGTGGTGACGAAGGACAGTGCAGGGCTGTCCAGAACGTGGGAGCTCTCCAGAAGAAAGTAGATGATGTAGGGAAGCCAGAGCATGTAGAAGACGCTGGTGATACGGAAGAGCACCATGGCGTAGCGCCTGTCCGGCCCGTGGCCCGTCTGATGCCCCCCTTCACCAGCCTCCATCTCCTGGCTGGGAAAGCGAGCTCTCCGCTCGCTAATTTCCCGATTATGCTGCTGGCAGATACGGAAGATGTGAAAATAGGTGAAGCAGACCACAAGAGCTGCCGGAGCATACAGGAGGCACACCACAAAACCAGTAAAAAGTGCTGAGGTTGGCCAGGAATTGGCGCACCACTCAAAGATGTCCCCATGGTACCCCGGCTTCCCCCAGCCAAAGAAGGATGGGAGGAACACAATGCAAGAGTAGATCCAGATCAGGATGATGCAGCAGCGCAAACGACATGGTGTCACTAGCTGGTTGTAGGAGAGGGGCTTGGTGATGGCCAGGTAGCGATCTACACTTATGCAGGCCAGGCAAGCCATGGACACGCTCTTGAGCACAGAGATGACATAGCTGAACACCTGGCAGGTGAGGGGCTCTTGGACACCAGCTGGGTAGTGCAGCAAGGAGAGAGTGGGCACAAGGCAGCTTAGCCCCACCAGCAGGTCAGCATAGGCCATGGTCTGGATGAAGTAGCTGGTGGTGTAGTGGTGTAGCAAAGGAGCACAATGGAACACAAAGATGACCGTCAAATTCCCAGCAATGATGAGTACTGTCAGCAGCACAATAACAGCAGTCTCTAAGACACAAGCCTCCATGCCCTCGTTCTGTGCCCAGCCCAGAGGACAAGAGTGGTTCAGAGACACACTGAAGCCATAACTGCTGTTTCCAGCTGGGACTGGTTCGTCGAGTCCTGATTGGTTCATTGTCCTGGGCCCCGTCCAGACGGCCTGTAACTGAAGCCCTGTCTGCACCTTGTCAGTAATCTCCTTCAGCAAACGCAGCTCTCTCTACTTTCTTTTTACATTTCACCTCTGCCTTTCACATACCTTCGTCTCAACGAGCACCGACAAAAATCAATATAGCCCACAAGAGAGAAGGAAGAAAAAATGTCCACTTCTCTTCTCGAATCAGTCATGCTTCAGAAAGGTCCAGTAATTGCCAGACAGAGGTGTTTCCTTCCCAAAAAAGACTACTGGTTCTGAAAATGGTAAGCGAAAGAGCAGCATGGCAGTGCTGACAGCCAGTTGGTCGTCACCATTTACGGGAGTTGTGAGTGATCCCCCGACAGCAAGCTGCAACATCAGCGTCTACTAATTTCCTAGGCTGTCCTCACAAGGGCAAACAAAATTTAAGGGATTTGAGAACAAGTCATGACCAGAAGAACCAGGAATCAGACACAGCAGTTTGCATCTGCTAATACTGTAGATATTTGCTTCCTCCATTTCAAGTGATTATTTGGGGAAACAACGCAATATCTTGTTGATTTCAGTCATGTGTCTTTGAAGCCATGGGGAAAACTGGAACAATCAGTTACTTTAGATTAAGGTACAGTAAAGTCAGTCATTTTGTTTAGTCATACCTTTTGTTGATTCGCATAAAATCCCAGCTGTAAAAGTTTCACTGCTTTTAGCACATTCCTGGGTTGGACATAAACACAGGCGCTACATTTCTAAATGTGGCTTCTGGAACGTGGACCTCACGGCCACTGTCTGGACCCCCCCCGTTAGCTTTCTATTGTCCAAAATCCAAACACAGACACATGGTAGATAAACACAGAGCACTCTGTGGGACTTTGTGTCAGAGCTCTTGTTCCCGCAGACCGTTTGGAGACTGCCGTGTTTACAGCCCACAGTCATGTGGGTAGGGTGAAAAGGAAATAATTAAAATTTCAGGATCATGTTATATGCGTACCATCTCACAGCTTCCGTCTGCTTAATCCAAATCCGTATACTTTTCTTGAACTTGACTTGTGTTGGAAATAAGGGTAAGAGAAAAAAAATCAGGTCATGTTTGAGATGAGATGAGGCTAGAGATGAGGCCAGAGTGTCTTTGCTCCTTAGGTAAAATCTTCTCAGGTATCCTGAACAAGGGGCAAATCATGATATATGCATCCTTCTTTCCCCCTTTCTAAACAAACTTGTGCCCCGGTTCTCTCCCAGGTATTTCTTCCTGAAAAAGCGATAACAAAACTCTACGTATCCTCATATCGGTAGCCCACAGTGTGCCGCTGATATTACCGACACATGCCTGGTTTGAATCAAGTGTCAGTGTTGCTGAAGTCCATGCGGCAGTCTCCCTTTTGATTTCCCTCCTTTTGTTCTGTCAAAAGGTTTTTCTGTTACGCAGCAGCGTCAACATAAGATAACAAAAATCTACTGGAGATGAATAAGGGGGTGGAATCCGGATGCCAGTGCTGTCATTGTCTTCAGTCAGTTGTCCCAGCGACCTATGAGCTTCTCAAGCCTGACACCAGTCCCCCGCTGAATGTAACGCACCCACTGGGATCCAAATCAGCAAATAAAGAATTGAATTAATTAAATTAAATGCTCTTGAAAAATGGACAAAATAAAAAACATTAAAAAAGCAGAAGAGAAAGAAGAGTGGTGCGGACAAGTAACGCAGAGGCAATGAGCAGAGCTATACCGCTGGTGCAGTGGGAAAGAGATGCTGTGAGCGGCTTCCACTTGCCTCTCCCCTTTCACTCTCTCTCTCTCTCTCTCTCTCTCTGTTTCACACACTCCCTCCCTCGCTGCCAGCCTCTCTCCCTCGCTCTCTCGCTCTCGCGCTCACCCACTTTCCCCGCCCTCCTCTTTGGGCTGCACCTGAGGTCCTGTTCCTCTCTCAACTCCTCAACTCCTCGTCCTTTCTTTCTTTCTTTCTTTCTCCCTTTCTCTTTCTCTCTCTCTCTATCTCTATCTCCCCTCCCCCATTCTCTCATTAGCTTCCTCTAGATACACATCCAAGACGATTCCCATACAAAACTAATCAAAGGTTTTTATCCCGCTCTCATGCCTCCAACTGCTCCCTGCCCTAATTTTTTCTCACTACTCTCTTTATTACCCCTCCCTTCCCCTCTCTTTCTCTTCCTCTTTCCCCTCCCTCTTCCCTTCAGCCACTGTGCCTCAAGTCACTTCCACAGACCAATGACCAAGCCAAGCTATCTCTGCCCCTTGGTTACAGTTGCCAGGCATTTTAGCTAGCTGGGACCCCTCCCAAAGCGCAGCTGACATGGTGCAACAAACAGAAACAAATTAGAGATTAAGGAAGGGGTTGGTGATTGTGTCCATGTGGTTTGGGGGAGGGAGGCACTTTGGAGGCTGTATTTGGATGCCATTCACTAATCTGTTCTGCTACACTGTAAATGCCTAAAATCATAGATTTATACTGTAACATCGCACTGACAGTATGAGTAGAAAGTGCAGTTATGAGAACTGGTTGACTGAGGAGCAGCTGCTACTCAAAGGCAGAAGAGGCCATGTGGACCTGCTGATCCGTACCTTGTGGCACAAGCTACTATGGAACAGGGCCAACCAGAAGGCTGTGTTAATAATTCATCATAAAGGGCTTGGAACAAAAGATAACACCACCACAATGATCACAGTCCCTCTTATCCTTTATCTTCTGTACTTTTTGACTCCAGTCACTCCGGCTCTGTGCCGTGGCAAGTAGACTAGTCACTGCTCTATATAAAGGCTGCTCAAGTCCAGGTCAGGCTGCCACTGCCATTGACACTCAATGGGAAAAATCTCAGTTCATTGTCTGTTATAAAATGCGCTACTAATCAGAAATTACTCAAAGCCAAGTCTTTGGTCATGCAGAATGGCAGAGTACTACTTCAACGGAGAAAAAAACAATCATGAAAACGGGCAGGTCATAAATAGTGGCAAAATTAGTCCTTAGTTTAAGCCTTAGAAGTCAGAGGTGTAGGTAACAGAATGACATACTTGACATACTTCAACATTAATCACTTATCATCCACTTCTTGAAATGGTCAGATGTGCGAATTCTAAATTTTGAGCTGTTTGTGTTTGTAGGCAGAAGAACAGATATTTTGATTTTTATGTGAGTCTGGTGATCATACAGTCCATACAGTCTTGCTTAGCCGAAAGAAGAACCTTTCATTACATTTGTGCCACATTTTTGTAATTCCGTCATTGCTTGACATCAAAACAAACAAAAAAAAAGGCAGAAATGAGGACTTAAAGCTGTCAAGATCATAAATGTACTTCACTCCATAACTGACTATGCAATTATGCAAAGCAATTAAGGAAGCAATAACTTTAAAGGCTTAACAATGTGATGTCTCATACGCAATATATGATGCCTAGGCACGTCCACAGATCGATCCCAGTGGGGGCTTGAGCCCTGCCCTTTCACCCTCTTCTTGACTGGCATGTATAATAATAGTGTTTGATACAGCCATTCTTCACGATCCATTTTGGCGAGGCTCAGCCGCACCCCACAAACAGAGCTTGCGGAGTTACACAAACTTAGCCTCCCTTGAGCACCTCCAATAGTGCAGTACTGGGACAGTGAAGTATCACTTTGCATAATACAGTTATTAAGAACAACAACTTAACAATGTTGGCAGTAAGGGGCATTAATAACAGGCCAAACCAAATGTGTGTTATTATAAAATACAAGGATTTGCTCCAAACTCTTAAATCTCTGTTTTTATGTTAAGCTCTTAAATAGTTATAATTCACAGCATCAGTGCTACTAGACAGCAAAGTGGATAACATTACAGGCTTGAATGCTGAAGGTGTTCAAATCTCAACTCATAACTTGTGTTTTTCACCTGCCTTTGGAAAAACTCTTTACGCTATGTTTGTTTTTTCTGAAACATGAATACACAATCTCTGTTCCTAAGACTGACTGCAATTTGCTGTAAATTAGATTAAGCTTAATTCACGTTTATTTTTTTTCGCTCTGAGCCCCTGCCCCCAAACAATGTCTGTGCATGAGCCTGAGACTGCTCCAGTAGCCTGTCTTGCATGAAGTATGTCACAATGAGCTAATGTGATCTGAACTCCCCACACATGACCACAGGAACAGACTATGGCAAGTCCAATTCTGATTCTGTATCAGCCAGCTAAGCATGCATAACATCTTTTTTTTTCTGAACAAAAGAGTGAATATAGATGCAACTTCATATCTTTAAGTGTTTTCTGTTCTAAAGCAGCATAATTTCAAAACCAATGCTGATGCTCTTACTGATTCCATGACAACATGCACACTAATGGCAAGGCATGAGTGGCAGCTCAGTAAATGCAGGATGCATTAAGATACATGTAGGAACAGGACTCTATTGTAAAGGAGGGGGGTTGAGGCGACAGAGCTCATGCATGCAGCTGGCCTGGAGAGACTGGAGGAGCATTGTGAGTAACAGCCCTTCACTCCCTCAGGCACTTATTATGCAGGTCACCAGAACATACACCAGAAAGAGCCTATGGCTCAACGACAGATAAGACTTTTTGCCTTTAATTCATTATAAAACGTGAACACTGAACTACATGCATTCTTTCCTCGCTAGAGGACTGAATAAAGTAATTACCTAATCTCATTTATCACAGTGCAAACACAATGAATTTATCAAAGATCATTACAGATGATCTTTTCAGAAAATGGAAACCAAAAGTGTTCTTTAATAAGTAGGCTTTTTCATACTTTCAAGATAGAACTATTGAACTATCAACTAACGAAATCAGAAAGCTTCACACAGTAAAATCATAATGTACTTCTTTATCCAAAATGCTCATTACGTTGCACTCGACTGCAGTGACCTTGTTTGTGACTTAAGCCAGGAATAGAGAAATAGCCTCAGGCTATTATAAAGCATATAGTTCCAATATTAAAGTACTCAATCTACGCATGTGACTCTCACAACAACTGAATTCTGTACTTATGTGCTATTACGTTGCTCGCATGGACTGCAGTGTACTGTTAGACAGGACCAGGCCTCAGCAGGTATAAGAAGTGAATGTCCAGAAATCATACTGAACATACTCTATCGTATGTAAAACTTTGAATTGAAGAATTTACTAAGGAATTCTGAGGGATTCAGTGCAGCATACAAAGCAAAGTATTTAACTTCAATATTTTACAACAATCTGCAGAGGACAGGGTGACTGCAGGTTTTCACTCCGACAAAGCAGGAGCTCACCTGATGAAATGTTTGAAGACTAAGACCAACTGATTAAACAAGCAGAATCAGGTGTGCTTCAGCTTGTTTGGAGTGAAAACCTGCAGGCACACTGGCCCTTTGCGGATAAGACTGGACATAGGGCTATCCCGCCAGACAAGTTCTCTCATTGGTTAGGACTTCAGGAGGTCTGAAGGGTAGGAAATCACATTGGAAGGGTTTTATACCACAGCTCTAAAGGAGTCACTGCAAAACTGCTATAACAGTACATTTATGTTAATATGCTTGGTATAAGCTTCACATAAAACATGGAATTTAATGGACTTTAATCTAGAATGATAACATGTTCACAATTAGCTTAGTGCGAACATATTACTAAATCCCCATAAGTGTGCTAGCAGAAGTTAACAATATCACAGAGGTGTTTTTTTTCCTTGTTTTTACTGAGTTTTAACATTTATGGCCCAAACTGAAGGCCTTGGTCTTATAGTCATGATCTGCCACTGATGTGTTCAAACAACCTTCATCAACAGGTTTTGTTCAGAATTTGTTCACAATGTTTTGTGGAAACAAGAGAGCAATGCCATAACTATCAGAAAACCAAATGATTTATAACACTTCTTGGAAATGTTATTAACTCAGAAGCCTTCATACTGACCCCATCAGTCATGTAATTGACCCTCCAGCACAACGTGGCTAATGAGGAATATCAATAATATGATGAATTGTGTACAACAGGTACAAAACGGTGCTGGAATACTATTGAAGCATGATGCCACACATGTTGAGACACAAAAGCTAATATGAAAATAAATGAGACACTAGAGCTATTCTACAATCAAGGAGCCTTTTGGGATTTGACAGAGCTCAAATTAAAAAGGCTTTCAGGTCCTTAACAGGAGCCTTCACTCCAAGTATCTCCTTGCCAAAACGTACGACTTGTTTGAACTTCATGATTACCTTAAAGTGCCTTATTAAAATTCAATCACCCCTACCTTTGAAAAAATACTCTGCACTGCCGTCTAGAAAAGAAATAGTCTTATAAACCCCGAGCACAAAAAATGACAAATGCAAATAAACTAGCAAAATGATCCGCCATCAAAGATTTCATTACATGCTCCATAAAGACGATAATCTACTTAAGCAGACTGGCGAAGACTACACAATTAATCCCAAGAGCAGATGGAAATAGAAGGTGGTGGCACACAGTCTTATCAAAGAAAATGTAAAAAAAATAATATTAATATAAACTTGGGATGTGATCCAGTGATTTGTCTCAGTAACAGTGAGTTTGAAAGCACTTGGCACGTGACATGCAAGACATTTCATGCACATTTACAAGCCTGCAGTCATACAGTTAGTTTCAGCTTCAGGGTCTATGTATTTCTTCTCATCATACAATCATACAATAACATTCCCGTTTTTATATGTCTAATATGAATTTATACAGGTAACAAAAGTGCATTTTAGTGATTCATATGACTACAAAACCTACCCCTGGCAAATCATCATGTTGGCTGAGTTGATGACCTTTCATTTCACCACGCAACACACCCACATAACGAAGTGTGTCTAATCTTACTTGTTGTATTTCCCTTTTCTGAAAAGGAACAAAATGATTTAATCCACATTTTAGCTGCATTTTAAAAAGACAGGGCTGGTCTTCACAAAGAAGCTTTCAGTCTTATTTTAAGCCCTGGCTGAAAGGAATAACACCTTTGGCAGCACTTTCACCCAGCAGAGAAGGAAAGGTTGGGAAAATGTCAGCTTCATGCTTTTTTTATGTAACATACTACATAACTAACTAGGCCTACTTTTTTGCATAGAATCATCAGAACAACAGCTAACAAAAGAAGTGTGTGTGTGTGGTGGGGGGGATTTGGAAAAGAATAACCAGATGTCTCTGAACCACAGAAGTTCCTCAGTGCTACCTGGCTTGGATATACAGCTGAAGGAAAAAGTGCCCACACTTAAATGGTTCTTGCATTTTATTTTTCCCACTTTATTGCGTTTGTTTGCTTTTGTGTACCAAAATAATTCAAAATAAGTTTTTTTATCACTTCAAAATGATCAGGCTGGTTTTGTTACTATGCCTACTTTGTGCACTGTGGGCAATATTTGTAAATAATCTTTGTTCTGATTCGCTTTCCTTATAAAAACTCCTTATAACTCCTTATAACTTCAGCGCAAGTGGGCGGAGTTTACTTCTGTGGGCTGAATGGCCAGACATAAGCTGCGTTCCAAAGCCTAGGCTGCAGCTGAGGTAGGCCGCATTTCCCGGCCGCTACGTCATAGAAGGCTGCTCCGAAGTGAAGGACCTTCGTATACAGCCTAGAAACGCAGCCTACGTTGTGAGTGATTTCGAGGACGCAACTGATGTATCCTCCAGGCCTTTGGTTACCCACAGTTCTGTGTGCACGAATGACGCAAAGGAAAAAACAGCATCACGAAAACGGGGGAAAATGAAGCTGTCGGAGCAGAGCATGTTTTAAGTTGTTCACCACCCTGAATTTGTCTTCATGACTGTAAAAAAGTGTAAAATGATTAATTAAAGCGTTCGCCCATATGTTGTATTTTAATCAGAAGTATTTTTATATATGTAGTTTGTAATACAACATAAGCTCGTTGCCATATTAGCTACCATAGTGACGCTCTGGTGACGTCACCACGCAGGCTCGTTAGGACTGTTCCATTTGTGTGACCAATAGGCTACTAAGGAGGAAACTTCCTACCAAGGACCCGCCCTACCTCAGCTGCAGCCTAGGCTTTGGAACACAGCTATGCAGTCGTACACTGAAAGTGCAAAAGTTTGGATCCCTGGTGAAATTACGTTTTGTTGCTTTTCTAAATGAAATGAACACATAATTACCATTTTTCTGCACACTTTGGAGCACTTTAACATTTTGGACAAAAGAAAAAACTATAGAAAAAAATATAAAATATAAACTGACCCATAAGTTTTGCACAGGGTCATTTTAGGCGTTACATGTTAAGAAAATAAACAGTAATTATACATCAAAATGTGCAGATGTGTGTTTTCTGTAGAGGATGTGTTAATTTATCTACACTTAGAAAATGAACAACACATTTAATTTGACCAGGGGCAAAACCGATTTTGTGACACAACACTGAATTCAAAACAGACTGTATTTGAAACTTAGTGTCCATATCTGGACTGTATAAACCGAGGAGTGAAATTTTAACATTATTTAATATTTCACAGACAACATCAAATCATTATTTAAATCAGGAATAATCAGTTTTCCGTTATATGGACCCTTTAAAAAGAACTTCTAAAAGAATTTTATGTTATGTAAAAATGTTCTTGATGCGCATATGACTAAAGAACCATCCACTGAAAGATTCTTCAGGGAACCAGAAGTGTCTTCTACGGCATCGCTTCAAAGAACCCTTTCTGGCACATTTTTAAGAGTGTATGAAAAATGCATCCACAATCTTTTCTTATTCAAATGTCAGCAATTGCTCAAAGCTCTCCTTTGCAATGCGAGTCGCCTAATGACTAACACCTGAAATGAGCTCTCCCTCCGACCAACCTGTACTCTTTGTGCTAAATCATTTTGGCCCCGTCTGCCCTGCCATCTCTATTTTACTCTATTTGCGCGGTCTTGTGTCCAAGCGTCATGGTCCATTATTCAAATCTACATCATGCTCAGGCATAGAGAGAAATCAGGCTGATTTACAACATCAATATACCGGCAACTACCAATGGCACAATTACTTAGGATTCAATCAGCATCATAATCGATAGCAAGCGGAGACAGAGTCATTAATAACGGCGACATTGCCGAGCACGGGACCCTGTCTGCCTCCCCCTCCGGGCTTTTCCTTTTTCATTAATAGCATCATGACGGTTATATCAATATCATTATTTCAAGGTGTGCAGCAGAATACCGCAAACTTAATTAATGAAGGGCTGGTTCAGTCGCCGGCTCTTGCAGGACCCGTCTTACACAGGGCGACATATATTTAGCAGCTCATCTGGACGGCTGCTATTTCTGCTGATGTGTGAGGCGATGAGAACTGTGACTCTGGGTTAGGGAACCAGAACAGTAGAATTTACACAGCCTGGCAAGAGCAGACAGCCTGATATAAATACACATGAAACACAATTACCCTCTTCTCCGCTCTTTCGTTATTGCTTTCTCACTCACTTTATTTCTTTCTCTCGATAATAATTGCACTGTATTTCAAACCTTGGTCAGTGGAATACCACTGAATGAACTATTGATTTGCATGTAAAGAGAAAAAACACATCCAACAGTCGAAGTGTTCAACCATCTCTGTGAATTTCCATCAGTATATGAATAAGACTTAGCTTTCAAAATGTGCTTTAAATTGTTGTAACAGCAAAAGCAACCGCCTTTAGCTACAGGCTTGTGTGAGTGAGCTTAGCTCTGTGGAGAGCAATGATAGGAGTTGATGGGGGAAGGGCTAGAGTCAACAGAAAATTGACTGTGGCAGGTCAGGACCAAGAGCACGAAAGGGCAGTCGAGAATATCCTCACCTCGAGCTGACCTCTGTACAGTCTGAAACACCATCATGATGAAAATCCACCAAGCCTATTTACACAACTTACGTCTGTATGCTTTTATTATTAGAAGTTCATTAGAAATAGTCCATGAGACGTGAGGTCGTCTTTTATCAGCAACTTTGAAAAAGCTAGGGTTGGTCCGACATAATTTATTTTTTGCATTTTAACAATTTGTGTAAACTCTGGATAGCGCCAGAGAGCCTGGTAGCTCTCAGCTCTCAATACAGCCAAGAGCCAACTACTCTGACAGGAAAAGACCAATAATTGATATGCAAAACAACCAACTAGACTGTTGTTCTTGCGTTTAGGGACTGGAAATGTAAAAACAGTGCTATAACAAAAACAGACCCATGAGAAACAAAGCGAAATGCCTGCCGATGATATTTTATTTGATATTAACGGCTTCAAAGAACACTTCTGAATTACTTTTAAAAAGGTGTGATAAGAACTTTACAACCTTATTTCAATCACACTACAAGCCTCATAACTCAATTCCAAATTTTTTGTTCAGTTCTGAACTTTTGCAGCATTTGCTCACGCTAACTTCACGCTAACACTGGATGACAAATTACCTACAGCGAAAGTAAAACACATGAATTCCGATCTCCTTAAGGTCGCATGGACACAATTGGATACGTATCCGATCTAGGACCACATGTGAAATTGGCTCAGATCTGAATGGCAAAGATCGGATTTGTGTGTCCACACAGGTCTGAAAACATCAGATCTGTGTTGTATTAAGGCAAGAAATCAGATTTGTGCCACTTCAGCCAGGTAATTTGAATGTAGCTTATATCTTGCTTCAAAAGGCTCACTGGTGTGCAGAGCAAGAAAATCCTCACTACTGGTAACTAGCTAGCATTTAGCTTGACAACCAAAAGTTTGTTTCCCTTTGGACTGATTAAAAACAGCGCACTACAGCACGGCGAGGATAGCTGATAAAACTCCAATAGTTCTGGTCATCTTAGCGTACAATATACATCGGACAATCTGTGTACCTCTGTGTGAGTGGAGCATCTGAGACTGCAGCTTCTGCAGTGCATGGGGGTCTCCAGACTGGAGCTGATCAGCTCTGGGCTAGATTTTGGAAGTAGGTGATGTACTAAAATATCTACTGAACCAGAGCAGCACCCCTCCAACCTCGCCTGAGGCTCTGTGCACTGACCTCAGGTGCACAGTAAATCAGAAACAATTCTATTCTTAGAGTAACAGATAGACCATCCACTCCAGTGAAACTGTTCATTCTAAGAGCATACCAAGCAGATATAAGTCAGTCAAATACATGATTCATAGACTTTTCTGCTGATTTTTCTGGGTATGTCACACACTTTGCCAAGAGAGTTGCGTTTCTTAACAATAGCATCTTTAGTGTGGGAACATTCCAAGCAAATCCGTAAATGGCATGAGAACCAGCACACCTCCAAGAACAACATGAAAAAAAAAAATTAGCCTTTAAAATACATACAAGTACAACACAGCCTGCAGAAATGCCAGGGCTCTATCGAGTGATCTGCCTTCTTGAATCTATAGCTGTAATGGAAATGCTTCACTTGGTTGTGGCATTAGAAGGCAATGCTGCTGTTCATTGCTCTAAGCACTGCTGGAAAATGGCTGTAACGTTTTTGGTGAGATGTGAACATAAACTGCATATTGTTTTCTTTGGTCCATTCCCACGAACTCTACTATAATTCCTCAGACACTTACAGCCATTCACACGAGATTACACTAGCACAGCTGCTCTTGTTACAAAACCATGTACAAGACGTACAAAGTGAAAGTCGGAAAGGTGCAGTAAGCAGCGTGTGGAGCAAACGTGTATTTTATCAATGAACACCAGTTTTTACTTTATTTCTATCATCTATAGTATGACAAATGGGCAACAAGAGTCCTCTATTTAGTTCACAGTACTCGATTTTCTCCCAAAACCTCCAGAAATGGAGATTTTTTGAAAACTTGTGTGTATGTGCCCCTCCTTATCCTCAATGGGAGCTGAGAGAGAGAAAGAATAAGCCTACCTTAGTGATGAGAATGCGGTAGCGTTCCAGCAGGGCCTGGTCGTCCTGGCAGCCAGATAGGAGCTGCCAGACTTCAGCCCGAAGTGCCTCGGGGATTCCGGGCCTCACCAGCGCAGACAGCCCCTTAGGCCGAGCAGACAGGTTCCCGTGCCTGACAGGCAGAAGGCAGACTGCATCACTGCTGCATACCATGACTTTCATTTCACTTTCACACAGCAGAAGCACTGCAAAAGAGTGTCTCTACATGCAGGAAAACATCTTGCTTGAACATACACAGCAAATTTAAGTAGTCTCTCATGAGATATATTATTACCTAGCACTTTGCAAATAAGACTATTCATCCTGTTTCTCCTCTCATCCAGCGAGATTGTTAGCCGATTTGCAGATTATGTTCTTTCCTTCAAGTGAGGAGAAAGTATTCACACACTTGAAGACAACTGTCTTTTTTGTTGTCTTTTTTCTTGGTGTTTCATGAAGTTCAAACGCATATATCCACGTCAACTTTACACATCTTTTGACTTGTAAGTATGAACAAAAAAGCATGTTTTCAAAGGCATAAAAAAATTTGTCTGAAAAAAAAAAACAAAACACATTGATAAGCAAAAAGTCTTCAGACACCACAAATGAATAACATTAGAACTTAGTTGCAAAGCAGCAGCAATTACAGCTTTGAGACGTCTACAATAAGAAGCAATTTGCTTTTTGCAGATTCTATTTTGTTCCATTCTTCTAAGCCAACCGTCCACAAGTCCCTCTAAAGAATTTGCAATTTCAAACTCTCTGTGTTTATTTTTTAGCAGAGGAGTTCAGAGCACATTTTGAAATCTTGCATGGTGCACCTGTCCAGGGTCAATTGGTCACGGTTCCATAAACTTTCCACTTGCATATTATTGAACCAATTGTACTGACAGAGAATTTAAGGGTTTTTTTTGGCTCTGTAGCTTTTTCCATTCGAGTGTAGTTAAACAATGTTTCTCTTGAGAACTTTAGGAAGCTCCTTCACCTTCACCATGGTTGCTAGTCGTTGTGCGAAATATCCCCAACCAATGGCAACGTCTTTTATGAGGACACCAGGCACAATTTGCCGAGAAACGACATGGTTTTTGTGCAATTACTACCTAGAACTTTACTTTTTTATGTAACCTCTACATACACACACCCCCAATTTTATGTGTCAATTTTATCATATATCTTTGTCTGTGCTTATGAATACATACTTTTATGTTCATATTTAAGTGGATATAAGCATTGGAAATATATTAAATAACAAAAGTACATAAATACCCGTTTCCCTTCACTGTATTTTAGAAATATAAAACAACGTAAATATGAATTGCTTTTAGTTATTTTTTGTTGTTTTTGTTATTTTTGGTTATATTTTTGTCTATTTTGAATGTAATTAAAGGTGGTTGCCACATGAACAGCATGATAGTGCATGACAGTGATTGCATTTCAACAGAACATGTTTGACATTTCTTCTCATTTAAATCTATAATCAGTATTTTTTACTAAGACATTTACTTATGAATTGCTATTTAACTGGATGATGACAGTATGTTGGTTGGGAGTTTTCCCCCAGTATCCCATTTTTTGTGCCTAGATGTGCAAACGCTAAGGAGTAACATGCTAAATAACATGTATAATGTTATGTTCAATGTGTGGTAATTTAGGCCCATCACATTTGGCAGTGATAACAACTTCATGTCTTTGTCATTTTGTTACGGTTTTCGTCATGGGTGACAGTAAGCACCAGCAATAATGAAATAACACGGTGGCACAGAATATTGGAGCTGTGAACATTACTGACAAATTCACACACATGCAATATGGATCTGAGTGTATCCTGACAAACGTACCTGCAATTGGTGCAGATAAGGTCAAAACAAATGACCCAGTAACATTAAACCTAATTCAAGTCTAGATTACATAAGTTAGTCAAGATGCCCCCAAGTAGCTTTGGCACCACTTCTTGAGGTAAGCTCAGATGTAAGCAGCAGAGATTTCCAAGTGCAAAGAAATGCACTGGTATTTGGAAAGGGACATTTAAATTGTGTGTAACTAGCAAACACATCAAATCACATGAATGTTCTCTGCACATCCACTAGGCTGCTTGGAAAGCCATTTTGCTTGCTCAGTAGTAAACAAGCTTGTATAATAGAGCAGTACTAAGCTGTAAACCATAGCTGCGTGTGTTATGAAACATGCCAGGTTAGGACCCCAGAGTAATCTGATCAAGCTAAGGCTCTGGGACAGAGTCAGGCACTTTGCGTGTGAACTGCTCAACTACATCAGTAGCTTACAGCATGCTGTGGTGGGCTTTGTGTGCATCGTATGCATGGTCAAACCTTTGCCTTCCCAGGCTACTGGTACAAAAATAGACCTACAACAATGGAAACTGGCTATAAATGACACTGGGGGAAAATCGCTTGTTAGTAGAGGGTAATGCTGCTGTCCTCCATGCACCAGACTGGGGTTTAACTCTCTGTCCAGGTAAGCACGCCACGCTATACCAGTAAGAGTCCTTGGGCAAGACTCCTAATGCTACGTTCACCTACATCTGTAACATGATTACACAGTAAGTCACTCAGGATAAGAGTGAAATTCATAAATTGAAACATAAAATTGGCAAAAATGGCTGAAAATAGGGCCGGGCTATACGGCAATTTACATTGTTACTGTGATAAATTATGTCACAATACAATAAAATACACTTTTCTGAAGATTTCATGTATACTGTCAGTACTTGTAAAACCAACTGCATGTTCCGTTATAAAGAGATTAAAATTAGTTCAATTTAACTAGATTTAGTGTAATATAGTATGCAAAATATTGAATAAAAATCAGTTTTTAGTTTTGAAAAAATAGCACTCATTTTTTCTCTGTTCCAACTGATCAAACGTTTGAAAAAATAAATATTGTGACATCGTGTATCGTGACAATTTCTTGAGGTATTGCAATATTATATTTTTGCCATATCACCCACCTCTAGCTGGAAAAAGGAAAAGATCTTTTTAATTAAAAAGGGCCTTGAATTTCTTTAGTTGAAAGGACAGTTGGAAAACTGGCATACTGCTTCAACTGATCAGTGCAGCAACAGCTCACCCAAAAAAAAGGGATGCTTGTTGATGTCAGTTATCCGATATTTCAAATCCATATTTGGCGACACATTTATTGTACTCTGGAAGAGCAGAATATTTAGATGATGCTGGGCTACTATGCTAAAATATTTTAGTATAATTTGTTTTACTGCACGTGTAACCCAATACAAATACATTATATATGTCTCTGTAATGTTAACCCAGTAGGATGTAGTCCTCTCCTCATAGAGGTTTTGCAATGAATTTTCAATCTCTCGAGAGATACTGTATTGTTTAAAGCAAATTCTCCAAGATGTCTAAATGGTCGTCAAGGCGCTCGCAGTGAATGGACTGGTTTCTAGGGAAACCCTTTTTAGCACGAGTGCTACAGCCTATTTTCGAGGGCTGTCATTCTGAGGTGTGGGTCTCCTGCCAAGAGCCAAGGGGTGCCTGCAGCTAAAAGCTTCGCTCAAGGTCACAATGACAGTGGTCAGAACAAAGACACCTGTCCAAATGCTTGGTGGCCACTCTGAGATTTAAACAGGAACTCTATGGATCTTCAACATTCTCCACAACATAGAGCCACCACTACCCAACACCTTCCTCTTACCTATTTATTGTTCTTTGTTTTTATGAAGTATGTTTTTATGCTTTGTACTGACTAGGCTTATCTGGCACAACTCATGACAACTGATAAGAGATACAATTTTTTTTTCCTTTGACTCATCTTAACTAGTAATTAACTGATCCCATGCTGTGGTCACCGATTATGCCTTTCTTTCATTTATATATTTGCAAGTGGTAAGTGGTAGGTTATAAACCTACCAAGCATAAATAAACAGTTTTGCTACAATCCATCCAAGGTTCCTCTTCCATTATTATAGATGTATTTTTCTATATGTTCTAATAATAAGGCGAAAAGATTAAAAAAAAAATGATTTAGCATTGGGGAGGGTCCATTCATGTCTTTGACAAGGGGTGGGAAAAAGTAAAAAACGTCAGCATTATAGAATTCAATTTAGATTTCTATTATCAGCCTTTTTATCATGTTAAAGAACTCTCTACTCTCTTAAGCTACTGAAAATAAAACAATGGTAATTTCTATATTTCCAGGCCATACTAAATGTTTTATCTGTATTTTATCAATTTTATTGTTGAAGAGAGCGAGAAAAAAAGATTTGCAGCTGAACTGGAACTGGCTATATAAAAAATTGAATAGCAATAGTTATGAAGATAAGCAATGTGCCTAATAGATAACTGCACAATAATGGGAAAAAGCTGCTTGACAGATGTAGTTCTCATTACTTCAACAGTAACCTGCACGTCTTTTCTGCATCCACTCAAACCAACACTAGTATTAATCATACAGACAGTTTGTGAGAGGCTGTATTGGTTATCTTACCATCTGTTGAGGATTCCACCCCAAGACTCCAGAATCTTCTCAGGGCAGTCTTTGGACACATCACCGGTACCACTGGATATTTCACTGTCACTATCTGTGAGGAGAGGGAAACGGGAAATGAGTTAAAGACTTGGGCCATACGTAAGGATGGGTGATATTGCAATAACCCAACATCATGAAACTTCAATATTTTTTTCGCTACAGTTTTGGTAATTTGGAATAGACAACATGCACCAGCAAAACTGTAGCACTACATTTAAAAGATGCTCTCAAAAACTGTGTACAGTGGGTTTTAGTTAATTTTTATTTAATATAATCATCATGTTTCTATCTAAATTCTAAAAGTATTGTAGTAAGTGCGGCAGATTTTTTTGTAAATGTTTGTTTGGAAATGAAAGGGTTATGCTAATTGAAAAACCGTCCAATCAGAATTTTTCTGTCTGTGGTATTGGGGTCGATATAACCAGTCCAGCTCTCCCACTGGTTAGGAATTCAGGAGCTAAAATGAAGACGTCAGGGGACCAACTTTGTGCGAAAAAAACTGCCACTCTAAGCCTTCTGGAAGTTGATTTCAAATACAAGAGGAATTCTGACCAATGCATTTCAGTCAAATGTAAGAAATGGAAAAAATGGCAGCTTTTTTTCCCCATTTTTTGACCAAGTTTTGACACTTATGGCCTGAACTAAAGGTCTAGCTCTAATAGTCACAGCTCTAATTGAACACTGAAATAATATCATATCACCGACCATAATCATATCATAGTTTCTAAATCTTATTCTTCAAGATATCCATATCACATTTCCCCTAAAAGTGTACACTGTGTTTGGTTTCCTTGAGGTCAGTCTGGTGGACAACTTGGTAGCTGAAGGATGCATGAGTGGGTGCTGAGATCCACAGCTCTGGGCTGAGCACTCAACTCCCATTTTGAGCACAGTGAGTGCTTTGGACCTCAAGTGAGCCTTTGCCCTGAGACCAGCTAATACACTCTGGCTCAAGGCCTCTGAGCATGTCTGAGAAAGAGACATGAAGGAGAACAGGTTTAGCACATCTCTTACTCAACTCTCTGCAAAACTCCACTTTAAAGTAACAAACACACACCACAACAACATACAACCTCAAACTCAAAAATAAAAGTACCAATTTTTTTTTTAAGTAATAATCCAGGTTTTCAACTTAATCTGTTACATCTGCAGTGTACAACCACTTATCATGGTCAATAATCTAGATGCCTTTTCTTTTACTTTGACTCGTTTTTTCTTGAACCCACTGAACCCAAAACACATTTATAACAGCAGCCAATGGGCAATGTGTTTTGAGTCAACATATTTTTCTGTTCTCACAGGGAAAATTGCCAGGGACAAGCATCTTAATTATTGTTTGTGGTAAGCGACCGTACACTACAGATGTGGCAGAGCTTAAGTTAAAAAACGCTTGTGTATTTCTTGAAAGGCTCTTTCAGGAACCAAAGGCAGTTTTTCTATGGTCTCACCCCACAAAGAACGGCTCCTTAGGACAACCATATCCAGGTATCTAAAGTGGGAGGTGAACATGGTCTCCATAGCCAAGACAGCACAGCAGAGAACGTTCTTTCTGAGGGAGCTGAAGAAGTTCAACCTGCCACAGGCGATGATCCAGTTCAACACAGCGATCATCCAGAAACTCCTTCACCTCATCTATAACCATCTGGTTTGATTTACTCAGCGCAAAAGTACAAGCCAAACTCCAGCGCATAATCAGGACAGTGAAGAGAAGCGTCAGTTGTAGTCTGCCAACGCTTCAGGACATCTACAACAGAAGGGTCATGAAGTGCGCTGGCAAGATTACAGCTGACCCCTCTCATCCTGGACATCACCTCTTTCATTCACTTCCATCTGGTAGAAGACTCAGGGCCAGCAAAGCCAGTACAACTACACATGCTACTAGCATTTTCCCCAGAGCTGCTCATTAATGGCAGTGGACACGTTGCACTTTAAAGAGAACCTTGAAAAGCTCCCTTACTGCAGCTCATAAATCTATTGTTTAACTCATCTGCACCATAATGTATCACATTGCTACCTTTGAGGTGTGCTATCACACCATTCTCCTGGGCTAAATGGCTCTATGGTGCTGAGTGCAGTAATACAGAAGCTTGAGGTGATAAAAATGTGTCTGGGGCTTAATGTTCACAGGGGTCATTATGAGCCCAGAAGCACCTTTAGTACCCTGGGATCCACTGTCTCACAGTGTGCATAGCAAGCCCATACATTAAAACAAGACAGGACAGAGCATGGAGCAACCACCAACACTACCACAGCTTCTGGCTCTACCGAGCTGCTACAGGATACACTAGGGACGATATGATGATTGTCACGATAAATAACATCACAGTTATTGGCAGTATTCTTAGACTGTTGGCCAACTGCATGCTTCATAAAAACAAAGATTTAGACCAATTGTAGAGAGTCTGTAAACAACTACTGTCATATTCTGTGAACAACACACTGTCATATTTCAACTGTGCAACAAAAAGCAGTCATTACCTTATTTAGTTTTAATTAAATGTTTGACTGTTGTGCCCTTCTCTTTCTAACGACACTGACTAAAAAATTAAAATAGGCTTAAGGTTTTACTTAATGCTTTTACTTTTTGTGATTCTTGTGGTCAAAATGCTAAAATGCATAATTTGGTAGCAGCTTTTCTCAATTATTTTCAATTGTTCAGGGGATGCAACAGAATTCTATAAACTTTTGATGAGTGAATTATTAATTGCTTTTATAAAGAAACAATTTGAAAGCGTTTAATTTGGACAATGCAGGAGCTGCAATTATAATTGCAATTTTAACTATACTGTTTCAACAAGCCTTAAGTGGGGAAATTAACCTAATGATGCAAAGCTCATGAACTAGCAATCTGACACTGCTTTCAGTGCTCAAGCCAGCGTTCCAGTCCAAGAAAAATGGATGTGCTTGTCATGAGCAAAAAAGGGTGTGGGCCTTAATTTACAGAAAGCAATCAAATTTAAATTGCAATATTTGTCAGGAAAGTCAGAATTACCGATTTTGGGGGAACATATTTCAGCCCTAATTGTAAGCCTGATATATTTCTTCAAATTGTTCAAAATGTAGCCTAGTAAGTTCCTGATAAAAACAAAGGAGAAACAAATTGGAAAGTAAGTTCACCTCTGGGAAACAAGAACAGACTCAGGATCTAAAAATATTTTAACACTGTTCTAAATTCCCAAAGAAAAGAGTTTTCAATATTTGATACTGAAATTATGTAATGAAATGACTTGAAGACAAAATAAGACCCAGTCAAATATTCAGGAAAGATGGGAAGAGCTTCTGGCAGCAGTGTGCGCCCCTTCCCCAACGACCACAACCATCAGCCTACCACAAAAACACTCGAAAGGTGCACGGCATGTCACACAAAAGAAGTAAGAGATGCTCACACTAATTGTGAAAGCAACTTATATGATTTACATGTTTAATGCAGAAATACCACAGTGATGACACAAGCTTGCAAGCCCTTACAAATACTGCGGGGGTTAGTCGAATTTGTAAATTTGTGAAGGCAACTGCCTGGAATAACTGATAAAGTCATTGTACTAATAAGTGTCCAGTGCTTTTTGTTTTGCTGGTGTCTGTTCCAACTTTGAATAAACTTCAGAAAAGTGAAATATCAAGTGAAGTATCACTGAAATGCCATGTATCATATTCTGTATTATGAAGATACTATTTTGAATTAAATATAGGGTTAACATGATTTGCGTATCATCACACTCTATTTTCATTTATATTTTGTACAGTGTCCCAAATTTTTTGGGAACCAGGATTGCACAAGCACTCTACACACAAGGCAATTCCTGTTTTTGACCATCTAAAAATAGGAATATAGTAGAAGGGTCGGAGTACGATCCAGAGCTACACAACAGGAATGGATGCACAGGTCACCAAACCAAAGGCTTTATCAGGGAGCCCATTTACAATCTTCATGACCTCCAGCAAGGCTGTCTGAAATGAGCGCTCTTTTCACAAGGCCCCTAAGTGAGGTTTCAGATCAGAGCAGATGCTTCAGAAATGCTTTTAAAGGGGCTGCTCTTCTGCAGTAAAATCACAAGGTCCTTTGCTGCATGGGGGAGGACGAGAGGAGGGGAGAGAGAGAGAGAGAGAGAGAGAGAGAGAGAGAGAGAGAGAGAGAGAGAAAGAGAGAGACCTTGAGAGCCACCCATGTCTAAAGGTGAGGAAGCAGCTCAATGGCAGGTGTGGGTGGATGAATCTTCTTTTCCATCTCCTTTACAAAAAGGATAAGCAAAGAAACAGTATCTCTCTGATAAAACTAAAAATGTAAGAACTGCAGAGAAACCGTAAATAGTCAAACAGTCAGTTTAAAGCTTTTTCTCATCAAAGTTTCTACATTAAATTAAGTGTTGGGGAAAAAAAACACAGGTTTTAAAGGGTCACTTTTTCTTGGAGGGGGTCAAACTTCGAAACCTGCAGTGCGCATTTGCATACTAATAACATGACTCACCTAGCCACACTCCACTGCCTTCTGACAAGTCTCAAATATTGAACATGAACTACATTAGAAGGCTTGCTGAGGGAAAATTGCAATGCTTTTGCAGTGGAAACCTTTCCCACATTGCTCTCGACACGGGATGCTCAGGATGACCCTGTTCTGCTTTGTCATCATAGTACGAACCTGAGACCATTATTTATGCTTTCTAAAAGAGGGCCCTTATCTTTCTGTGTGACCTCTCAATCTGACAAACCCATAACAAAGTCTGCTCTTTGACCTTAATGATTATGTAGAAAATAATCAGAGCTCTCTTGCCTGACCCAAAACCGGTCAGTGAGGTCAGTCTGAAACAAAAGAAGCCAAAATCATCACCGCCCTTTATGAACATAAAAAGAAACTGATTTTCATGATATAACCGGTATAGATTTACAACTGTCAAGCAATGTGTATTTAGCACATTGCAGTCAGTCATGTAGGGCCCAAGTGTATGGAGAGTCCATCAACATCAGGGTGCAAAATGAAAAGCTATTCAACCTGCACCAGCCAATAGCACTTAACCAGATTGGAAGTGGTCAGTGGTAAGTGCCCTGGCCTGAAAGCACACTGGCTTTCACATCTTTAGAAGACAGCTAAAGCCTCATCCACTATCAAAGCAAAGAAAATGAAAAAGAACTGTCACACAATGGGTTGCACTGATGTAACAACAAATTCCAGATAATTAGAACATTAGTTTTTCTGGTACTAAGGCAATGCTGGAAAGTCTAGAACAACAATGAAAACTGCGTAAGCACACCAGTAATTCTAGAATCACTTGGAATTAAAAAAAATATATACTAGCAGTTCTAGACCCACACTGAAAATTCTAGAAGGACATCAGGAATTGCAGAACCTCACTGAAAATTCCTGAAGCATACTGGAAATGATTGAATATTACTGAACATTCTTTCTAGAATCATACTGAAAATTCTACAACCTCACTGAAATTTGACAATTATACCAGACATCATGCATAGAAGTATACAGAAAATTACAGAACCACACTAAAATCTAACAGGCATACTGAACATTTTAGAACCACACTGTAAATTCTATAAGCATGGAAATGCTAGAACTATGCTAAAAATTCCTGAAGCAGAAATTTGAGAACCACACAAAATTCCACAAGCACACCTGAAATTTCAGAACCACAGTGAAAACTTAGGAAGCACACTCAAAATTTTACCAGCATACTGAATATTCTAGAACCACACTGTAAATTCTACAAGCAACTGGAAATGCTAGAATTACACCAACTGAAAATTGCACAAGCTCACTGGAAATTCCAGAACCACAATGAAAACTCTTTAAGCACACTGAAAATTTTAGCAGCATAATGGAAATTCTAGAACCACAATACAAGTTCTAAAAGTATGCAGAAAATTTTAGAATCACACTGAAAATACCATAAGCATACTGAATATTCTAGAACCATACTGTAAATTCTATAAGCAACTAGAAATGCTAGAACTACACCAAATTTGTGAAGCACAGTAGAAATTTAAGAACCACACTGAAAATTCCACAAGCTCACTGAAAATTCCAGAACCACAGCGAAAACTCTCGAAGCACGCTGAAAATTTTAGCAGCATAATGGAAAATCTACATTTACAATGTAAGTTCTAGAGGTACGCAAGAAATTTTAGAATCACACTGAAAATCCCACAAGCATGCTGAATTATCCAGAACTACATCAATTTCTTGAAGCACACTAGAAATTTGAGAACCACATTGAAAATTCCACAAGCTCACTAGAAATTCTAGGACCACACTTAAATTCTTGAAGCACATTGAAAATTTTACAAGCAATCTAGAACCACACTGTATCACTACTGACAACTAAAACATACAGCAACAAACTGCTGATATATTTACAGGCACTCTAAGCCAGCTTTGACTAAATTAATGCTCACACTTCATTCACAGTTGCCAAAACACAAGAGAGAAAATGCAAAGAGAGCAAATGTGTTCGATACTGGTGAGATTCTGTGGGAAAAAATCTGGACTGATGATCTCACTCGCTTGAAATGCTGCCACTGAATTAAAAAAAAAATTAACAAATGTTCTTGCTACAGCTACTTCTGCAGAGGCAATCTGTTCCTTTTTTCCCCCTGCCTGCTCTCACAGTCTCAAAAGGCAATCTAAATAAGCCTAGAGACATGGTCATTTTTCTTGTAAATTGAACACCACAAAGCTTTGCGGGATCGGGGAAAGGGGGTACGTTCTTCAATCAACTCACACATGGACATGCAATTACTTTATCACAGTGAAAGTGTGTGTGAGAGTGTCGGGGGCGGGGAGAGATTTCCAACATCACAATTATTTTACCTGAGGAGTTCTCCTCCAAACAGAGACTGCAGGAGAAGGTAGTAAAAAGGGCAAGAACGCATTAGGCAAACATACGACACGGTAAAGCACTTTTGTGGTGTGCATGCAGGGACGGGTAAATGGGCTTCCGTACCTTCCTCCTGCTCCTCTTCCTCAGTGGGGGACTGCAGGCGGCCTCGCCCTCCTCCCACCCGCTCCGAGTGCCTCTGGAGGCTCACCACCTCAAACATGGCATCTCCCTGGCTGCCCTTCTCAATGCCCTACACGCACACACACACACACACACAGTAAACATGAAGGCAGACGGACACACACAGAGCAAACATGAGCACACACACAGTAAACATGGGCGCACACTACAGCTGCATGATATGGAGAAAATACCATAGACTGGGTCACACTGGGTCACACAGGGTCTCCATCCCTCCTCCTGGAGAGCTGCTCTCCTGCAGAGCCTACTTCCAACCACACTTCGCCAAACCTGCTCCAGCTAATCAGCCTCTTTATTAATCGCTGGATCAGATGTATTAAAGTTAAGCAAGGGGTGGGGCAACTTACTGGATACAGGTTGAAACTAAACTATGCAGGGAAGCAGCTCCCCAGGTGGAGGGTTGGAGACCACTAGTCTGAGATTTCACTCTACTGTTGGAGATTGAGAGTCTGAATCCAGTCAAAAAGGTCTGCAATACATTTGCCATTACAGATAAAACTACAGATCAATAATATTGGCTGATATTTTCCAACTAATATAATTAAGTCAATTGGGCTATAATCAATACCTCTAATTAAAGTTCATATCTTTGCATGACATCAGTAACAGTATACTGGTATACATATACGCTATATGGCCAAAAGTATATGGACACCACTCCAGCTGACGCTTGGCATTGCATATTGTGATCTTCGACTTTCATGCAACTGCTCGGCCATGGAAACCCATTTCATGAAGCTCCAGACCCACAGTTCTTGTGCTGATGTTGCCTCTAGAGGCAGTTTGAAACTCTGCAGTGACTGATACAACAGTATAGATATAACTATCTTTAGCACTCAGTAGCCCCACTCTGTGAGTGTGCATGGTCTACCGTTTTGAGGCTGAGTTACTGTTGCTCCAAGAATGTTTTATTTCACAATAATAGCACTTACAGTTGGCTGGGGCAGATCTAGCAGGGTATTTCACAAACTGACTTGTGGCAAAGGCTTGTGGCACCCCATGACAGTGCCACATTAAAGTCACTGAGCTCTGTGGAGACTGCATGGCTATGTGCTTGATTTTATGCACCTGTTGGGTGTGGCTGAAATATCTGAACTCAATAATTATTATTATTCAAATGTTTTTATTGCTTTTTCAATATTTATGCACAAACACTACCAGACAACTTCTAGACAAATTCTCCTGACCCCTAAACCCCCCCAACAGCAATCCTTGCATACACATGTTCTAAGACCTAGCTAAAGTCAAGCAAGAAAGGGGAGAAAAACAAAAGAGGGGAAAATGAGAAGGGAAAAAGAAAAAAATAAAAATAAAAAATAAATAAATTAATTAATTAATAAAAAAAAAACACATTACAGGATCTTTATGATATGTTTAATGAGTGAGAATGCTCAGTCTCAAAATGTGTCAAAAATGGTTGCCAGCATTTATAAAACCTCCTGGTTGAACCTCTGATAATATGCTTCAAGTGTTCAAGTTTATGAACTCAATAATTATGAGATGTGTTCTAGCACAAATTGAGATTATATTTCTATTTAACGTGACAGTGACACACCTTTCCATTTACTAAGAACCCTTGATGTGACAGGACGAAAAGACTGGCCCCTGTTATTTTGCAAAATTATTTATGTTTGTTGAAACATGTAACAGCCCTAACTCATTAAATGCCTGAAGAAACTCATCAGGTGAATCTAAGGTTGGTAAGGATGTTAAAGGCATGTTAAATTTGTTAGAGAACCATCTGCATATTGTAGCCTTCTGAAAAGCATTGAAAGAAAGCATCTGAAGTGTTCTTATATCGTTCTCATGAGCAAATGCATTATAAGCACAGATAGACCGTCAATGACAACAGGGCTACAGCACAGATATGGCAATGGCACTATCAATAATGGGCCTAAGGCAGTCATAACTCTACCGCTGACACCCTACATGCTCCGCGCAAACAATACACTTAGTGTTTCAAGAGCACACGGCATTCCAAAGTTAGCTTCACCTCCGCCGCTGCCGCAGGGGAAGCAGCAAAAAAATATAATTACGCATATAGGAGGAAATTAAAAGAAGCAGTGAGTGAGAAAAAGCCCTCTCGCCGAGTGGGCACTCCTGGGGAGCTTGTCTGCTAATGGGGTTCACAGGGAGCCCGGTGCAATCAGAGCAGCAGATTACCCGCATCTCTTTCACTCTCCTCTTCAGAGGTCATTCCTACATTCTGCCTTCGCCGCACCCCTGAAATCGGCTTACATCGCCGCTGATAGCGCCATGTTCAAGTACACTTCGCTTTTTTTTACAGAAACAAAAGCCAAAGCCACTTCATTTTAATTGCCAAGCAGAAAAATGCACCTCAGGCAAAAAACATTTAGCGCAAATAATAACTACTCGCGAAATTCCTTACACCTAATCAATGGCGTCAACAAATAAATAATAATAAAATAAAGAAGGCTGGGTTGAGTCTTGTGCTACCACCATAATATTATCTTTTAATTAGCTTTTAACTACGGCCCAGGCATTCTTCCACTCAGCAACGAAATAACTACGAAGGCAATCAGCCGGAGATGCAGGCAGCAAGCCCTAATTACTTCAGCATGATAATGAGAGCCAGGCCGCTCATTAAGCTCCCAATAATACAAAGCTTCCATTTGCTGCTTCACAGCTTTCCAGGAGCCCAGTTAGTGCTCCCAATCGCCATTAACAAAGATCCCTTTTGCACCTAAGAGTTAACGTCTTCTGGACTGCACACAGTAAGCTACACTTGCGAAAGTCAATGGACCAAGTTACATTAGAAACACAAAAGCTGAGTGAAGATGGTATTATAAGTGCCTGACCATTTTCGTAATGGAAAAAAAAACATACAATGCAAGACTGAACATTAAAAAATTAAAGGGTGTAAAGTAATAATTGAATGAAATCCACTCAGAAAACCTCATTTCTTACAAAATTTAGTTTTAAATGTAGGAACAGGTTCACCAAAAAGTACCCAATTTTCAATACTGTGCAAAAGTCAGAAGACTGACATTTATTTACTTGATTTCCAGCTAAAACGTCTATTGAGTATAAGTTCTTCCTTTTCAATGTCAGGAAAAAAGCTGAAAACATATTGAACAGAAAATGACACAGAAGCCTAAAAGACTAAATATAATATTGTTTTCAGTATTTAGTGTGTTCACTCTTTGCCTTTATTACAGCTTCCATTCTCTTTAGAGGACTTCCTTTCAGTCATTCAAATAAACCTGCAGGGACATTTTTCCACACCTTCCAAGTTCAGTCATAGTAATTGGTTGCATTTTCTGCTTCTCATGATCCAAGTAATCCTAAACACAGAAACACCAGAAGCTTATTCGTTTGATTTCTTCTTCTTTGCCTATTTCCTTTTCTCAGTAAGAGCTTCTTGACAGCTACACATCCTTTCAGACCCACAGCGCCGAGTTGTCTTCTCACAGTGGAAGGATGGACAGAAACACCTGTGGATTTTTTCAGATCTAAAGCAAGAGTACAGCTTGATTTTCTCCCATCATTCAAAGACAAAAGCTGTACTGTTTATCTGATGTTAACATTTTTGGTGGTCTATCTGATCTTGAACGGTTGTTAGGAGTCTAATCTTCTCCATATCAGGGGTTACCAACTCTCATCCTGGGGACCCACTGCCCTGCACACGTATTCCCTGCTCTCAACACACCTGATCCAGCTCATGAAGACCTTGATAATTAGCTGATGAGCTGGATCAGGTGTGTTGGGACAAAGGAATAGTTAAAACCGTGCAGGGGGACCCTAGTACAGGAGCTAAAAACCACTGCTCAGTATCTTTTAATAATAAAACTCCAGTTTTGGAAACTCCTCTCTTATTTTCCTCTGACTTTCCCCTTCCTTATGCAAGTGGATTGTCGTTTTATCTCCTATCTAACCTCCTCAGAAATATCTCCTGAGAAAGGAATATCTTGTACTTAATGACTGTTGAAGGATGGTCTGACTTGAGCACAGTACCATAACAATCAGGAAAGTCTGAGAAGCACGTTTTAAAAGGATCACAGACACAGTAGTAGTGTACCTGTTTGAGCTGGAGGTGGAATGTCTCAGAGAAAGTCTTTCTGCTGAAGTACCAGAACCTCTCATTGGCTGGATACACTCTGGCCAGCGCCTCCAGCAGGAACCGAACCGGCTCTACCACCTCAGTTACCACCAGGTCCACAGCCACTGTAAGATACACCTGCTTGTCTGTAGAAAAGGGAAAAATGTCAAGATTTTAAAAAATGTGGCAATATTATCAGTAGACATGATACAAGACAGCATAGTAATAATTGGACACTTTTAATTAGATTTTAACTTTAAAGTTAAAAATGTGCCCAGGCATTCTTTCACTAAGCAATTAAATAAGTATTATGCAATGTTCCTCTGTTAAGGTCAAAAGAGTTTCTTTTTGTTTTTCCACTGTGGGCACAGTAAAATACGTTAATAACATTCCTCTTTTTACTCCAATTGTGTGTTTTTTCTGCAATATTGCTGTTGCTGTGTTACAGAATGCACATGTACTCCAAAGCGTCAGGCAATTTATGGAGGAATCTTAATTTTATCATTTAGCTAACCATCAACAACAAACAAAATAATCTGCAAAAGTGACTTCTGAATTAATGTGCTAAAAACATGCTGTGTATGAAACCCCAGAACAGCCATATGTAACCAAAACAAGTGCATGATTAACCAAGGCAGCACAGCTGAAGGTCACAGAGATACATGGACTCTCCAGGGTCTAATCCAAAAGCAAATCCTCATCTCATATAATATTCACCCTCATTATTCTGACTGACGCTCTAGATTACACAGGGCTCCGCAGGAGGAACTGTTATGACTCTTTAAGTATGCTCTTCCGGGTAAAGGATCTGACCTCTTCCACTTTGAAGTGAAATAAAATGATCATAAAAAACAAGAAGGAACAGCTGAAGGAGAAAAAAAAACACCCACCAAGCTACAAAATCAGCCATTCACACTCAAGGGGCTATTTGTTCCTTTAATTAATGTAGATAAAAATAGGTAGTTGAAGTTAGAACCTTATGGTAAAAGCACTAAAAATAGATACTGCATTTACAACAAGTCATGCATAAAATGTGAGCAATAGGGATGAGCATTCTGACTAATTCTGATATTTAAGTATCTTTAAAGGTGAATAAATGGCTATTCCGTGGAGAAGGAAAAAGGGGCTTTTCGAGCAAACTAAAAAAAAAATAATAATAAAAAAAAATAAAAATCAGTAACATGAACGAAAATTAAGCAGCTCACATTCGACAGTGTACATCTGAAAACATGTCTTATTAAAAATAGCCAAGGTAAGTCATTTAGTCACTAAGCTTGAGTAACAGAGTCTGCCTTGAATATATATACACACACACACACACACACACACACACACACACACACACACATATATATACATATATACATATATACATGTGTTTGGACAATCTTAATCTAGTGATTCGTATCACTTTAATTTCACATACAAATTAAACACCACACTTGCCTGACATTTTCACATTAACAATGAAAAAGATCAATTAAATTTATACACAAACAAAAATAATTCAAATCATGCAATTTTGAATATGCTCTTCTCTTCCCAGAGCAGAGGTCAGCTGCCTCATTTTGGTCTGAATATAAATGAATTGCATGGACTCAATAATGATGACAGGTCGCCTTTAATAGAGTAAAATATGGCCCATTTAAAAGCAGAGACCTTTTCTTACCCATCTCCTTTAAGCCTGGTTGCTTTGAAAACCTGCCATTTAGGCTTCAATCAATCAGCAAGGCCATAGTTCTGAACCTGTCTGATTTGAGCACTAAAACGTCCAGTCAAGCTCCATGCTGCTTTTGTGCTGTGATGTGCAATTGCTCTATATTCTATTTGTCAGTCAGCAATGAAAATGAATCAAACATGGCAAACCCATAAAACCTGTGCAATAAATAAATGAATCTATGCTGCTGTAGCACCTGCAGACGTGTGCCATTCCCTGAATCACAGACACAAAAACTACTCAAGAAAGGCTCCCACACAAACCAGCATTATGCATTCTGTAAAGGTTAAACAATTGTGAGGGAAATATGAATTTATGACAAATGTCATAAGTGGACCTCAAGGTGAAAAAATATAAAATACAAGACAAATTTAGGATATGTGACCTTTAGGTCAATCAATAACAGCATACCACTGAGTGTGCCTTTTGTTATAAATAACAACATCATGTACAACCTCACCTTTTGGCGTGTCCTCATTGAGTGCTTGAAAAGCAGGTGTGTTAGGATTCCACGTTCCAGTGATCACGTAGGCCTTCCCATCGGCACTCTTCCCCATGGACTCCTATATAAAGTAATAATCCCAGCCACCAGTGAGGTGTTTGGTACAAACAATGCTAAACTTAAACACTGAAAAACAAAACCAATTAGAGTACAGTTCATGAGAGTAATGTAAAGAGCACTTTCAACTATCCTAAATGGGACAAAGAGATCCACTTTGTGCTGTTAAAGCTGCTGTAGGCACAATATTTTTTTAGCTAGAGATGGCGCAATATCACTTTCCCGATATCACTATTGATATAGCTTTAAAATGAGCTATTTTTAATGTAAGCACTTCACTTGAGATAAGCATCTAGAAGTAGGCTATCACACTTTACTACCCAACAGGACGAAATACACAGTTAATAGCATCACATTACACTGTCGAAACCTGATATGAGGCCACATAATGACTAATTTCCATACACATAATTGCGATTAACTATTTCAATGTCTTTCTTAGTTCACTCAACTTTCAGTACAAACCTAAAGTGGCCAAACTGCTGATTTCTTCCTAGCTGTCTATACTTCCCTCCCAACTGACAACAGACAGCTCAAATAAACAAACATTACTCACTGCTGCCCTCTAAAGGTGTTACAGCACCAGTCAGAGGACAATTTGTTGTTTATGTGAAGCACATGATGTGTAAATGCATTTTCTGTTTAATTTTATTTGCATGCATTTGCCTCAGCTCAGCAGATGAAATGTGCCCAATTGTTTGATGTGATGTAAACATGACTGTGAAAGCTGACAACTGTGGAAAATAACTGTGGTCAGCTTAAATCATTGCAATCAGCTCAAATAACTGGCGTCAGGCTATAATATCTGGGACAGCCCTACCAGGTTCAACCTCTTCCTTCCTGTTTCAAAAGTGAAATGGTAGCAAAAGCAACATCATCTTAGATTTATTCATAATAAACAGATTTCAGAGATGGTGAATATAAAATTGTGATTTATTTCTTTAGATTTTTTTTTGAGTAACTCTGGTTTACAAGTAATTTAGTTTAAAAAATAAGTTTTACAATTAGGGCTCTAACAGTACTGTCAGATCTGTTATGTCGTAACAAGCAGCGAAGCCTAAAATAATACAGAGATACAGTTTTGTAATTTCATCAATTCAAACCGATTTATAAGAGGAAAACTGCTGCATTTTCTTCCCTCATTAATTCCATAGAATACAATCATAGCTCATTAAACTACACTGGTAATTGTTTTAGTTCTGAATGTGCTAGCCTCCTGTGCTGAAGCTGCTTGAGGCACTATGTAAAAATATGTTCCTAATGAATAATAAAAATACTTGATTTCCATTTCTTGGGCCTATAAATAGCAGACGCAGAATGGATATTTAAAACAGTGTTGCAGCATGAAATAAGACGCAATCAGTATACAAGGCACAGCTCTATTAAAAACCACTCACAAGGTAAACAACACACTGTTGTAAATTAGAGGACAACCGAGGAGAACAGATGTGCTGATAAACACATATGTTAAAGTAAACAACAGAGCACAATTAAATTAAGATGCTTGAAAGACCTATAAGAGATGATTGAAGAATCCAGGGAGGTGTCTCACCATGTCTAATAGGTGCATGTCACTGTTCCGAACCTTCTGCCCAGGACTGAGCAACATGCCAAAACATCTGAAGTAAAAGGGTCAAAAAAGAAGGAAAAAGGTTTAAGATAAAAGAAAAGAGCCATCTGCAAAACCTAATTCTTTCTTACATAATAAAGAGAGTTCAAATCTGTTAATTTGGACTGAATTTGTTCTGTAAGTCAGTAAGAAAAGAGGGAAAGTCTGCTGCTGTAACTAGAGTGCCATCGTGTGGCTGTTGATGATATTAGACTTAACACATCAGCATAGAAATCTAAGCATGTATTTGTTCATTTGAGAGCAAGCATATACAAAATTAATATCACAATAATTACCTAACCTTTTATCACGGTTTATGATATCATCACAAGATTTAAGCCCACTATATTATGCATTTCAGTGACCTTCCAATTTTTTACCCCAAAAAAATGTTTTATCCTTTTCATTTTCACTGTCTGCTTTATTTCATTTCACTGTACAGGCCTAACGCCCAGCAGAATGCCTATTCATTACTACCTCTTGACGTGACGTGTAATAATATCTGCAATAATAATGTGTGTCAGAGGAAAAACACGGATACAAAACACAAATTAGAGATAACCAAGCTCATCTGAATATACAGAACTGATTTTGACATAAAAGGCTTTAAACCATACTAAACAAACCCGACATAAGAATATGATTTTTCTTTACCAGTTCTGACTGCTAACAACCTAAGTGTCAACACCAATAACCCTGATGCTTTATTTTTTTAAAATGCTTTATTTTTTGGTACAGATTGTGCTAGTGGATGGACATGATGACAGACAAAATGAGAAATAAAAGACTTCGGCCACAGACCCAAAGACATTTGCGTTGTTTTAGTTAGGTCTTACTATTTGGAGATGAGCAGAGAGAAAGAAACTGACCATAACTTACTTCTTCACACAGCCCAAAACTGAGCAAACACAGTGATGTCAGAGGGGGAGCTGATTTCACAGTTCATGAATATGTAATTCAAGGCAGTTGTGATTTGCTGTAGTCAATACGCACAATCTAAGATTGCACCAAATTTAATGTAATACCAAACAAAGTTGTTAGGGGGCAGTGTAACAACACATTAAATCTTCAGAGATCATTTTTATGCACTTATCAGGGCACAACATGTATTGTGCAGAATAAAAATATGCTGCAAGATTACAGTTTTGATCATAAGGGAAAAACACTATCCTGGACCATTTAAGAAAAAACATTACATGTATAATACAATATATGTACATACATGTAGTGTTCTGAATGCAGTTTTGTAATAGCAACAATGCGTTTTGGTGGTTATACTTTTTGTGGATTTCTGTCTGTTCACTCATGAGTTCATTCATTTCTGTTTTTTTAACCGTCTCAATGGTCAACATGTTTTCATATCTCCTAGGTTCTCCTTCTTTCAAAGCAGGTGGCAACAAGTTTGACCTAAACGCATTCAGGGTATTTCAAAACGTCTACAGTAACAATATAGTGCATGCTGAACATGACTGTATACTACATTATATTATTCAATATAGACAAGTCAGATACATGCAACAGGCTGGTTTCTGCAGCCGGTCTCAGGAGGTACTTCAAGTTTCCTGCTCAGAATGAGAAAGGAATTTACAAAAATAGAACTGGCACATCCTTATGAAACTGCTACGTGTAGTTAATGTGTAATGAGGTTGAACGTGGGCACACTTAACTTAAACCTAAACAATATGCAAAGTGAAAGCCCCTGCAAGCACTGTGGCTGAATTACGGTAATATTGCAGCTGTGTCAACAATGAACGGAGCTATTGTATTTATACTCTCACCTCTCTATACCCAGTTCCTTGTTTGAGATCTGCTGCACTGTAACCACCACTTTCTTCTGCACACCTTGCCGCAACTTGAAGTAGTATTTGTCTCTATCTTTAGGAACGGGGCTGCAGGAGAGAGAAGAATCCATCAATATTTATATCTAAACATTGACCATATAAAACACACAAATAAAACTTTCAAAATTTCAGAATTGCATGCGTTGCTCTAGGGCTACAATAAAAGACTTCAGAACTGGTTAAAACTGGTACTGATATTTGAATAGCATTAGTAAGAGCAAGGGAAATTTGATCAAAGTTGAAGTGAAAGCAGCTATGAACGCTTTTAGAGTGCCTTCAGAAGCAGGTGTGAATTTGTGGCAACATGTTTTACAACAACAGACATTTTAACACTAATATAAGTAGTAACAATAGTGTTAGTGCTACTACTACTACTACTACTAATAATAATAATAATTAAAAATAAATAAAGAAAGACAAACATTAAAGTTCTGCATAATTACATCATTAAGAAGCAATGTCATTCAGAGTTTGATGTGAAACTGAGCTACATTTGTTTACTGAGATCAGGTTTTGACCTGAAACATACATTTTTTAAAATCCATTCGTGGTGCAGAGGTACGTGCAGGAAGTTGTAAGCCCAAAGAGCCCCCAACAATCCCTCTATGCATACCATATTCAATTATTTTAATGCATTAGTATTCCCAGTGCAATGAATCTGCATTTTACGTAGCTGTCAGCATATTTTAGATTTAATTATGTTTTTTTTTTCATCACTCCATTTACTCTAACCACCAACTGAAAGCAGCCAACAGCAACCTACACACATGCACAAGGCCGTATACATATGTAATGTAATAATACACGGACATTAAAACTCATGAGCAGTGAAAAAAGAAACCGATCCACTATAGCCGGGTCTATCAGCCCCACTGTTGGGAAAACATCTTAGTGATTTTAACATGGTGCGTTCTGGTGCATGCTGAGGCAAAAATGCAGAGGTAAGTGCTGTAGAATTATTTAGTTCATTGAATTAAACAACTATGCAAATAAGTCATGTCCAAATATCATACTGTTCTCTAGGGATTTTGAGTTATTTGTAAAAATTTGTTGCTAACAATTGCAAGGTCAAAAGATCAACATGTAAGAAATTTGGTTAATGTATCAGAAATCACTTGTGTCCTCCTACAAGGCCCACACTGCATCCAAAAAGGGAATGTCATGCTTAGACACAGATGATCGCTACTTGTGATGTAATTTGCAGCCAGCTAAGTTCTCATAGCAGTTACAACAGTCAACAGAAATCTAAAAAAAGTCAATTTCAGACACAATGAGATAACTGACTGTCTTGGTTCCAAACAATAATTTATAACAATAACTTTTTTAATAATTACTTTTCAATAATTTTCATAGGAATTAATTATTAATAATTTTAATAATTATTTTTGTAATTACTTTTGATTCTCTCTAAGAGTTCTCTGCTGGCACCAGTGCCCCTCCCCAATCCTAAAATTAAAATCTCCAAGTCTACACAATTCATGTGAACGGCTTTTTCATCATTCAAAACGACTGATTTTACTTGATGACCGGCGACAAGTTTACATGTATGAATACATGCTAAAAATTTGTTTATGAAAATTATAATGACAAGAATGAAGTCTTAAACAAAGATGTATAATAGAAGAGCTTAGCAGTTAGGCTACTAACTCCCCTGTTCACTGCCGCATTGTTTTAGGTGGTTAGGAACCTCTGGTCCAACATTTGATCACTTCTGACCTGAAGTTGCCTTTGCCGTCGTCCTCCCGCACCTCCAGGGATACGGTGAAAGTGAAGATGTCGCTGTCAGGTGACTGAGGCAAGGACAACTCACGGCCATCTGTAGCAGCTTTGGACGAACGCTTAAAGGCCGTCGAGAAGCTATAAAGAATTCGGCTCACCTGTGCAGAACAGAGGAAACATAGCTTATGATATGTGTTCTTTTCCCCCTCTTTCTCTGAGGCTCTTCAAACATTAATAGCTTTGGTCCTCATTGACAATAATTTTTAAAAGCTCTGAATCTGGTGTTCAGATCAGCCAATTCAGTATGTGAACTGTTAGGAACCACAACAATTGAGCTCTTCAGGTATAACCACACACCCAGTGACTCATATATAACAGACAAAGAGGGCCACTCACAGCCTCTTTGATATGACAGGAGAAGACGTGAATCTGGAAGTCCTCTGAGCTGCGGTAGCTTTCAGTGAAGGAGAAGCAGTCACTTTCCAATGAACCCTCCTTCCCTCGGGCACAGAACAGCACTTTATAGATGGGGAAGGAGGCGATCTCTGTGCCAGAGGCCTGATCAACAATCCTAGAGTAACAAACAAAAAGTAAACTGTTATATTGTCACAACACTGCAAGGAGATACATGAATATAAATATAAATCATGCTGCTTTGTATTTTTTATTTTTTTTTTGCAATTTAAAATCGTTCAAATGTTCCAGCAAAGAATGCAGACGTATACACTGCTGTATATCATTTGTCACATAATACGTTATCAAAAAACAATTTATACAGTGGAGATTGAAATGTAAGAGACTATACACCAAAATGTAAATTGATATTTAAAGTATTCTGAGAATTGACGTGGCCAAAAAAGTCAAGGTTATTACATAAAAACTGTAATTATCTATTTATTCTAATTTCTTGACAAAAAATAACAATGAATAGCTATTTAATTAGTAAGATTCAGTCACTGCTTTTCAAATATAAGATATTCTAGATATTAAATGTTATTATAAGTTATTTTTCAATGTTATACAGTTTTTTTGATTATTATGGTATCATATACAGCACCGTTCATCACCGAAAACCTCCTAACTTCCCAGCCTCTTACAAATTGTTTGACATCAACAGAATATTAGCAACCTATTAGAGTCACTTTATACATGTATCTGCTACAAAATTTATTTTGTCTTATTAAAAATAGTGATTCCAAACTTTTGAGCTGTGATTCAAAACTTCTGAATAGAGTGCAGAAATGCCATGCAAAACATCTACTGCACTATTTATCGCTAGCCTAAAGCTGTTCAGGGATGTGTCTGCGGTTTCACAACGGGCAAAACATAAAAATGAACATCCAAATTCCTGTGAAGACTAATATAAGTTTGTTTTTATGGCATGTGTTAATTCTTACCACACACACAAACAGATTTGGTAACAGAAGAAACAGAGAAACCACAATCACCCCCACTGATTTCCAGTGTGGGTAGTGTTGAAATCATCTGACATTCAACAATAGCTTGCAAATCACTCACTGTACTCAACTGCCAGGAAAAAAATATTTGCCATCAACTGCTATGGAAGAGATAAAATAGTAATACACTGTCAACTCAGTGTGGGACAATGCACAACAACTCAAAGGTAAATGTACTGATGCTGGCCAAAGCGCTAATTTTCACCTGTAGTTCCTGAGGTAGGACTGGAAGTGATAAGTCAGAAACAAAACAAAATAAAAAAGACAGACAAACAAACAGACATTATAACAAGCATGCATCAGTGTTCGTCTGACCTGACACAGCCGTCTGGGCCGTTTGGTACATGGAGAGTGACGGGGATGGGGCCAGGACTTTCAGCCCGCAGTGTAGCCATGGCCTTCTGGGCCTCAGGCTCACTACGTGGGAACTTCACCCAGGTGCAGCCCAGGTAAGATAGTTTACTGAACTGCACACTGTCCTCCTCTGGAATGACTGGACTGCCCACTGTCCCCACTGTGGCTTCTGAAAAAGAGGCATAACATACCATGGGCTGTCAATGAGCTGTCAGTTTTTTTTGTTGCCTTTTTTTAAATGTTGCTTCCTGTATGCAACTTTATACAGTGGCTACATGGTTTAGTTCCTGTTTTTATCAGAAATGTAGTGATGTATTATTTAGAAGAGCAATAAGATTGCTCCTTAAAAATGCTACCAGGTAGGAGCACTCAGTCATTCCACTCAAGGTTGCTTCTAAGAGGAAGTGCCAGGAAGGGACACAGGAAGTGAGTATAACCTTTAATCATTCAACACTTTCAAAAGCAACAACAGGAACCAGTAACAATAGGAAGAGGGCCAGCAGGCATTTTTTGACGCTTCCTCTCGCATACGAACTCAAGTGTGCACAGCCAAACCTTTTCACTGCCATTTATTGCCTCGTGTGGGGAGATGTGTAATAATTATGGACTTCTACTGGAGAGCACCTGCATTCGGATGCAACAATTAATCAACAAAATCAAAGACGCCTTAAAAATTATTACCTAAAACAAAAGCGCTATGTTTATAATACGCACATGGACATTTCATGTACATTACAGTGCATGATAGGAAGTCTAGGGGGCGATATAGCCTCTATTAGTTGTACCATAAAGCAGTGGTGGAGTGCTGGAGCTCTACCTACTGCAGAGTTTAGTTCCAACCTGTATCCAATAAGCTGCCCCACCTCTGACTTAACACTAATACATCTGATTCAGCCAATCAGGGACTTGGGAAGAGGTTCAATAGCTGGAGCAGGTGTGGCAAATTGTGGTTGGAACTAGGCTCTGCAGGAAGGCAGCTCTCCAGAACCAGGGTTGGAGACCACGGCCATAAAAGAAGAAACTGCTTCACAGATGTTGAACGATGGTGGTACTGTGACAGGCCAAAGTGAGAGGAAACAGCTGGCATAACAGCTTGAATAGTTGATTCACTGAACAGGAATTGCAAGATTAATTGATAATAGCAATAATTGTTAGGTGCAGCCTTAGTCTGAGTGTATAAAGACCATCATAAAGGTCTTAATTTCCTCCCTTTCTCCTTTAAAAGGCTGTGCAAAAACAGAGCAAAACGAACCATTAGGTGTTGTATTCAGCACCAGGCTAGGAGGCCTTTTCTGCAGCCTGGGTGCTCCTGAATCTTGTGAGCTCTCTCTAGACTCCTCTGGCGTCCCTCTCCTTTCTTCTCTCCCCAGCTCATCCTCCAGCACCTCCTCCATTGCCCTCTCCAGCTGCTCACTTCCGTTCCAGGACATCTGAGAGCACAAAACAGGCTGTCAAACAGCTTACTAAAGCAAAATTTTTCCCTGGCTGTATGGAAGCAGTGATACAGATAAAGGAATTGGCTGATTTCACTATGTTTTAGTACTTGTTCAACACTTTGAAAGTTGATGCAGTTGAAATGTATGAAACATGGCATCTAAATGCAACTGGCTAAAAGTAAGATAAATATAATCCAAGTGCACCACACCATTCCAAATGCATCCCAAATTCATCCAATTCCAAACTAGGCCATGTGTGTAGAATTTGAAAAGAGACTGTGAGTGTTAGGGCTAATATGAACCACATACCAGTCATGTAAACACCCACAGAAACACTAGGCTTGGTCACAACGCACACAGTTAAAGGGCGTTTTTTAAATTAGCAGGCTTCTGCGATATTAGTACTGTTGCCAAGCCCAATATCCCAGTAACAATTATCAAGTGATATACTGTTCAGCAAGCATGAGTGTGGAAGTACCTTGAGTCTTGGCCGGCCTTCTGAGCTGGATGGAGAGCCTTCGGCTCCGGGCTGCACCAGCACAAACTCCTCACTGGTGACTGTGGACACGGATTCAGTGGAGCCGCTCACTTTGCCCAGAGACGAGCGGTCATCCATGATAGCCAGGGACAGTCTGCCCTCCAGGCCCTCTGCTGCAGCCCTGCACAATATATCAAAATTAGTTAAAGGTAAGGCTGATCAAAACTGCCTTTGGCTGTGAATATCACCGTTGAAAAGTCTGTGATCAATGTGTTCAATAATATAAGCTCAATCTGATTTCAGAGAAATGTGTCAAAAAAGTGCAACATGCTAGTCCTGTGCAAATTCATAGCTTTCAGAGTTCAGGTTAATAACAAGCCAGGAAGCTGTAATAAAAAGAAATTTAAGATGTGTCCAGAATGATAAACAGAGCTGTATATGATTCTGAAAACTGAGAAAGCTATTTAACATCAAAAACAACGTTACAATAAAATCAATATTCACAATGCCTCGTATCTGAGAGGTGGTGATCAAGTTAGTTAGACTACTGATAAAACATTTTAAATACATACTTTCTGTTTCTAGTTGATACAGTCTAAATCTACAAATTATTATTAGTATATCAAATTACTTCAAACCTTTGAATGGTGCTGCTCCCTTTAATCTTAAAACGCTGCAATTAACAACTTTCATCTATTAGTACGCCAACTTCTTCACAGCCTTATTTGACTTATCTGTCAAATCACAATCACAGCCACAAAGAAAGCTGCAAACACACATGAACGTGTGAAGAGCTATTAAATGCAATAACCGCATCTATGATATCACTCAACAATCTCAATCATCACTTTCCGTAAACCAGACCAGACATGGTACATACTTGTACATACTCTTGCAAAAAACGTCTAGAACTGCGCGACATTAAGAGCAGGAGAGGTCAAAAAGACAAGTGGAATAAAAGAGCACAAACAAGCTGACATCACTAACACAACACCAACGCCTCAGGCTAGATTACAGGAGCGTCATCAGATAAATGATAGCTTGACAAGTGCAGTTTAATCGCACTTATTGTCTGCTGCTTATCTCACAAGACTAAGCGATCCTTTGCAAAAAGGTGGGTCAGTAAGGTTCAGATGCTATGAGTACAAATAGAGATTCAGTCTTCAAAAGCAGATAATCCATTTTCAATATCTGAAAACTACATAGTTTTTATTTATATTTTTAAAGGGGAATTTCACCATTTTTTACAATTTCTGGGTAATTAAATGGTTGAAAATGTAAGCAAAGTCATTAAGAGTGGTTTGACATGAAATTCACTGTTTTAGAGAAACTTACAGGGTCAGAACTGTTGATGATGGTGGTGATGGGAACCAGATATCCAAAGAGTTACATGCCATTCAAATCTTCCTCACAGAAAGTTATTACATGAAACTGTTACGAATATGACGTCTAAGACTTGGTTTTAGTGGTCGGAGACCACAAGATGCTCCTATTGTGCACTTTTTTCTAACTTAACAGACCCAATCAGAATGCTGGCAAACATAATGGTTGGTTTTACTTACGGGTGGGTAACACTGGATACAAAACATTGACAATAATGGTACAATCTTGTTGTGTTGGAGGCTGTAAGAAAACATAATACAATTTCCTTTATGGTTTTTCCTGTTTTCTAGCTTTCAAAAGCAAGTAGAGCTACTATCCCTCTGAGGGATCCTCTGTCTTTACTGACACTTGCAGCTGCAGCCAACAACAAATTAGCAAATCCTTTACTCTTCTAGGTGAAGATGAAGTTTGCCCAGCGCTATTACATCACCAGTAAGAGTGAGTGAGAGTGTGTGAGAGTGTGTGAGAGTGTGTGAGTGTGTGAGAGTGTGTGAGAGTGTGTGAGAGTGTGTGTGTGTAGAATAGTGCAGTATTTTTATATCAGTCAATAAGGTAAACTAACTGGTAAGCAGGGTAGCTAATTAGCCAAATTAGATGTTTTGAATTGTTAATCGTGGTTATCATTATGGTTCCAGGTGTCTCTTGAGCAGGTGGGAAATTAGAACTAGAACCTTCAGTTTTTTGGGTCGGTTCTTGGTTTTGAATGTGCAGTGGGAAAACATCCTTAGAAAGGGTGAAAGCTTCTTCAGTAAACATATATACATACATACATCATCTAAACCGCTTATCCTTCTGGGTCGCGGTGGGGTGCTGGAGCCTATCCCAGCTGTCATTGGGCCGCCCAATTCTTCAGTAAACACTGCATTAAAATGTGTGGCTGCTTTATGTTCATGATTATTTGACAAAAAATAATCACAAAAAGTTATTGACCCAGTGAGGTCAGTTTAGAAAAGATTTCTATTTTGCCAATTTCATGGTTAAATAACTCAGGATTAAATCCTGTTGTATCAGTGCAGCACTTCCTGTGTTCTCCACCCAGAAGTAAGTTCACTGCTGCTGTGACGTAACGCTGATTTCTCCTATAGAAAGGCTTTCAATACAAATTCTATTTGAATAAAATCTAGAATTTTTTCTACACTCCAGCTGGCACGGGGACAACAAATTTGTGCAAAAGTCTCAAAAAACCACCAAATCCCCCTTGAGAGTCGTCTGAACATGGGCTTCAAAGGAAGGAATAAAAAAAAAAAATGTGACTTGTTTGTATTTAGTCTGTGTCAAAAACATGCTTAAACTTGTACAACTTGCTGAAATAGTGCAGAATCTTGAATGTATCTTCTTCATTTTGTCACAACTTTCATTTAATTTAAGTTTATTATCTAGTTATAGACTAACTATATAGCCTACATTACACTAGACAGTTTATAATAACCTTGTAAATTCTGTCATCAAAATCATAATACTGGTCCTGAGATGACACTAAGACGATGTGAAATGCTTATCTAACCACACTTAAAACTGTGGTAGTCATCACCACTGTGTAAATGCAGCAATTTCTTAAGTCTGACATCAGCAGGCTGTTTGTGAAAGGCTCCAGAGACAGAGAGCCTTTTAGCCCTATAGGCCTTATTCCCTACTGAAACACGCTGTCATGTGCTCTAATCACACTCTGTCAATTAGTGCCACTGAAAATGGCCCAAGATAAAGCTGAATGTTAACACAGCGCTCCTCTGTGTCGGACAGTCAATGTGCTGTTAACATTTGTTAGCTGTATGTTCCACGTTAGCAACGGACCTCGGCACTCAGTTCCCCATCCCTTATCTACCATAAGAGTGAGTGTACACGCTGTTACTACACTTCCAACCAAACAATATATTACAACACTACTGAGAATCAAAATATTCCATGTCATTCAGAAAATATGCCTTATGTAAAGATGTTCATTATTGGAGTACAGATTTTTGGTTACAAGTTCATTTAATTTCTGATAAACACCTTTTCTTTTCTTGAACTTTGAACAGGCAGATTTTTCATTCAACTTGAGGACTGTTTTTAAATTGTACAAATTAACTTTTCACACAAAGCGCAACTTGTTCTGGTAGCCCAACTTAGTGATGCAAACTCTGACTCTCAATGCCTGCCTCAACTCCACTTCATTTTAACCAGTAATTAGGACATTTAGCCACATGGCACAGTGCTAAGGCTACTACTAACTACTTTTTTAACATCATGTCACTTCTGTTGAACGTAGCTCTAAGCTATATCCTACAAATGTGTTTGTTAGCTAATGGTGAGCCTATGTGGTTAGTCCCATTGAAAGAAAAAACAACCTAATTTACATTCATTTAATGAGCTTTGTTAGCTTTGGCTAACAATATATGGTAAATATAAGTACACTACATTACGTTAGTGTCATATCTGTTACGTTAGGCTTTGTTTTTTAATACGATAAAGCCTAAAGCCTTGTTTATATAAAATGCAGGGATGTCTGATGTTTTCATGGGTCCTGTTTGTGATTTTAGGATCATCAGTTGTTATCGGTCAAAACAATTTGACAAAAATGGCATCCCTACTTTAGAGCATTCAACATTATAAAAGCACAATATTTGAAAGAAAAGTTGTGTTTTAGTGTCTCAATCTAATGCTCTATTACGTTAGCCCCAAGCTAATGCACTATCCACATACTAATATGCAACATCACATTATGTGAAGACATTTTTATTTTAAAGACACAACATATGCATCATGATATTTCATGTCTTTGAGGTTTGAAAAGTTGGAACAAATGAAAAAGGACCAGTAGCACCACATTAATAAAATCATACGATCGAAACCTATTTTTATTTTAAAAAACTAAAAATACAGTGGTTTATTTAATGTTTCACTTGCTGAGCTGCAAAAATCCAATTAACTAGACCTAATCCAATTGGAATGAAACACGCAGTTGGTCAGTGTTCTTTGACTGATGACAATATCCACAATACGGTGAGAAAAGTATATAAATGATATAATGGGACATAATTTAATACAATAACAATAAATACTGTGAAACTGGCCACACCTATACAATACACTGTGATACAGTTCGTTACGTTGTATTGTTACGTTCCTAGATTGTGGGGGTTCAAATGATGAATGAGGACTGTAGCTAACCAGCTATACTTTTTCCTTTATTTAAAAAAAAAAAGTCATTTTTAGACCTCTTTAATCTTATACTCTGAAAAGAATGATCATTTCTCTACACAGAATAAAGCATAACTTCTTTGTAATTCTCCAGACATTATTTTGACCCTTGCATCCTGTTTGTAATTAAGCCCTGCATGTCAGACAAGCACACACAGTGACTTGCATTACTCAGCGTGTGGGGGGGGCGCTGTTAAGTATGTGGTAACATGGAGTTTCCTCTTTTTTCCCCCTGTTTTAACTAATAAGTGCATCCGGTCCTGCATTTAACCAGGTTAAAGGACACAACAAGGAGACTTTACTAACGGCCGGGGCAAATAATGAAGAATCAGCTTAGCCTGAACAACTCAATCCATTAAGAAGGCTACAGGCAGATTTCCAAAGCAGCCTCTGCGATTAATGGACTGTAATTGTTAGGTTTCAGCAGAGTTTGGGCAACACAGTTTCACACAGCTCGCTTATTTAAACAAAAAAAAAGATGTGTTGTGAACTCATGTGACCTTAAAATAGTATGAGACTGAAACAAAAACGAAACCAAGCCAGGCACCTTGTAACTGACTAGAGCTGTCAATTTCCTCCTGAACGGGCAGTTTCCTGGTCTGGTGCATCCAGAGACACAAACATGCAGACTGTTCAGGCAGAAGTGACCATGATGCGAATGTCAATACTGTCAAAACTGATCGTATCAGTAATCGAGTAATCTAAAGATTTCGTTATGATTAATCAAGTAACCTGCATTTTTAAAAAAACGCACAACACCACAGTGGACTTGTTGAAAATGTCCATTTTAATTAAAGATGCACTGATACCACTTTTCCCCTTCCGATCTGGGTTATTCTCACAAACATGACAAATACTGGAACCCAACTTGGAAAAAAATTTAATGACGAAACCTTTTTTTTTTTTATATATATACAATCACTATAACATTGATACCTGATCGAATAATCAAAAATACGCTTCAATGTTTTAACTGATTTTAAAATGAATTTTAGTATAATTTTCCAAATTAAGTGACCAAATTCTCATCACCACAACACAGTAAGGTCTGAAGATAAATCTGCAGATAAGTGTTTTTTTTTTGGTGCAGTTTTTCTTTTCACAATTTGTACATTTTTATCCTGTTGTCAACTATTTTAAAGCTAATTATTAAAATATATATTTCTTTATCCTTTTTCCTTGTGCTAAATAACATCTGGTTGTTTTGGTTTTATATCCTTATAATTTTCAAGGAACACTTTAAAGTACAGAGATTCAACAGTTAAAAGTCATTTTTTTCTAATTAAAAAAATATATAAAAATATTATAAATATCAGTAATTATAAATATCTGAAACAGATGCGTGTGGACACCTTGCGATAGTGAAATAAATAAATATATAAATAAATAAATAAATAAATAAATAAATAAGTAAATAAAATTGAAAAAAAAAACGTAAAACTTTTTGCTGTATCATATAGAGCTCCAAATGATGTACTACATTATATGAATATTTTATCTATGTGATGCTTATGACACTCAAATATTTATTGACTTTTGAGGCATTTTTTTGAGAATGAGACATCTAACCCAAATACTTAATATGTACCTATAAATTCTGATTTTAACACCATTCAACATCCCCCCCTCCCCAATATTGCACTGGTAAAAGCAGTGTCACAAAGATAACCTACTATGCTCGAATGAATGGCACTAATTAGTTAGATAACTTCACATTTTAATGGTTTCAGAGTCACAAAAGTGCTGCTCTATGGTATGGTTTGTCTTTAAATGATCAATTAAATTGGACAGACTGAAATCCCTGCTGGCTGTGGACTCCTCAAAGTGGCATCACAGATTTCACAATGAGCATTTTCACTACTGCTTGCGTAAAGCGTGAAACAATCTCACACAGCTGTTACTGCACTGCAAGTGCCAGTACTGATGCAACTCTAATTTAAATAGATTATTTTTTTAATCCGGTAATCGAGACAGCCTTACATTCCAGCATTTTTCAAGGCCTCAGCAGAAGCGCCCAGATACATTTCACCCAACGCTATTGAATCGCACACTGCACTGTGACAGGGAGTAGCACACAGGCTGTCTCCATACAAAGCAGCTGCCATTAACTTTACATGGGTGTGCTGCAGCCACAGTAGGCCAGTTAAGGAGGAACAGGCTCTGCAGAGATTAGACCACAAGCATTTTTCTCCATTGAGCACACCCTCAGCAAAACAGGAGCGATGGTGCAGTTTCCCAGAAATCAATTTTACCTCAAAGACAATAAACAGCCTACCATCAACCAGCCATGCTGAATTCCTGAAAGCGGTCGACATGTCCACTGAAACAGTGCAGAGCAGATAGATGGTAAGATGGTCTCAAAAAAGGTGGAGTTTAGTTTTTCCCTGTCTGACTGCTCCTTCAGCCACATGGCAGTGATGAAACTATGGGCAGAAAAACTTCACCCATTACATCACTCAGCACAATTAGCACTGTGACAGGGCAAAGAACAACTCGCCAGCATTTCCACATAAAGAGTACCTAAAAAAGGCATTGTGAAACGTCAGCCTCTCAGAAATAAGCTTAGCGTTGTGACTGCACAAAGCTGTGGTCAAAGCTCGCCACTATCTGTTATGAGACATGCAAAACAGCAGCACTGAGCTTAGTAAAATACACGCAGAAAACTGTTCAAAGGGGAACTCCAGCGATTTTTCTAAATTTCTGCATGATTAAACGGTTAACATGTCAACAAAGTCATTCAGAGCGGTTCGTTGTGAGACGCTCCGTTCTTGAGAATTTTCAGATTTGCTCACGGTGAGACGTCCACCTCTACAAGCTCCCTCACAGAAAGTTATTACATGAAATGGTTTTGTTCCAAAACACATTTTATTTGAATCCATTCATGGTGGAGGGGTACATGACATATGTTCCAAGACTAAACGGTCCCCAAAGAAAACTTGTTTTTCAGATCAACCATTATTTTACCATCATCAACATTACATATATGAACTCAGAAGACACGTCTAGGCTCACTGGTTGTTTTGGGTAGTTAGTAAAATGACTACATTTGTATTGTAGACACTGGGACCTCTGGTTCCTATCACAAACAAAATCCGTGTCTGTAAGGGTCTCTACAAATGAACTATTTCACATCATACCACTCTGACTGACTTTGTTTACATCTCAACCATTGAATTGTGGAGAAATTTTGAGAAGTCCCCTTTAAATTCCCCTTTAAAGGACATGACCATCTTACTGCAGCGCTTCATGTACTATTTCTCTCTTTTGTGCAAGTTTGTGGATGTGCTGCTTCAGGGTGGTCTAATGTGGCAGCATAAACATACAATTAATGAGCCCTCCTTAGCAATAAGCCTCACTGATTCTCCACGTATAAGTAACCATAAACAGACTTGCTTAACAAGTTTTCAGGGTAGCAGCAAACAGAGCTTCCTTGTCTTCTCTATGTATTTCACTGTCTATGCATTCTCTTGTATGCCACAGTTCATGTTTCTGACCAGTTATTCTAGCTGTTAGGTTGCTCTTCACTTGCATAATGTCTGCATGGTCTATAATGCCATGGTCTAACAATACCACCACGTTATTAGAAACAAGAGCACATTTAAAACAGCCCGGACTGGGCAACTTAAACCAACTGGAAAAGCATAACACTGAATCTTACTGTGTAGTTGCTCCTGCTACTGTAGCTGTACTGTTACTTGCTAAAGTAAGAAAGCAAAGTAACACAGGAAACGTGACCTCAAGTCAGAAAACCCGAGGCTTGTCAGCGCTTCTTTATTATTACATTTGATAAAACACTTCGCTTCACCGCGCACTGTTATACACAAAACTACTCCCATGGAATGAAGTAGCTTAGCTTAGCTAATCTCCCTGTGAAGGCTAAGCTAGCTAATTTGTTAGCAACCTCTGCTGAGAAAACAGGCAGCTCGGCTAGCAGGCTAATAAATTCGAGGCTAGCAGTGCGGGGCTAACTGATAAACTATTATTGTGATTTTCTGATAAAACAGAGCTCACCAAACGCAACATGTCACGCTGACGTACAAAAGTGTCCAGCGAAACCCGACCTTTGCGTCCAAGTGATGTCAAAAATCATGCTTTCTGTTTTTGAGCGCGGCAAAAGAAGCATAACTTACTTGCTTTCGGAGTTTGTGTTGCCCGGGGTCGGAGTGACTGTCAGCGGGGGCAGTTCGCGTTTTACCCCGGTTAGAAAACACAGAGAGCTCCGAGAGCTCCGACTGGCGATATACTGACTCGGGAACGAATCGGTTCTTTTCAATCGGCTCTTCTAATCATGCAGTGGAACCGACGAATCTCAACTGAATCGAGTGTTTTTTGTGACGTGATGCTTTCATGGAGGATGACAGGAGTGGGTCAATAAAATCTGATACAAAATGTAAAACATGTCGAATGTAAATGAATGTCAACCACAAAATACTGTAACCAAAAAAGTACTACACTAGAAAAAAAACAGTGTTTTCATTTTGAAAATATTACGGCTTCCGACAATTATTGTTGCTGATGTTGTGTTAGTTGTTATGTGTAGTGTCCGAGGAGGGTGGGCTTTGTAGTGCATATAATGGTTAGAAGTGCCAATCCTCCTTGTATGTTATGTCCTCCATGTTGCCCCCTCCCCGTGTTTCGTATTGTGATAGCACTGGACTGGCATTTCTGGCTGCTTTTGAAGTGTCTGTTCATTAAACATAAGAGAGCAACACAGCTGGCTGGCCCCATCAAGAAGAGGGCAGGCGTAGCACTTGGTACCTCCTTCTTCCAAGCTATGTCTTCTTTGTCGTCTGCCTTCAAATTCGTTGATGCACAGCTCAATTTCTTCAAACTTGGTGGTCACATCCCACTTCTGACACCAGTATAGCATCAGCAGAGAAGAAGACTAAAAAACATTGTGCGTATGAACACATTCTCTTTATTGAATAGGCAGTTCAACAGCAAGCAACTACCCCTAGTTAACTGCAAAGCCCACCCTCCTCCGACACAATTACTCCAATCAATAAAACTACGACTAAACCACGCAACAGCAACAACAGTCTGTCTTTAACTGGGAGCATGACACCTCCCGAGAGCTACTTTGCATGACCACACCCCCTAAGTTCCCCACGCAGCGCAGAACCTATGGAGGACGCCACAATACATTCCTAAAGGAGCAAAAGATCTGCAGTTCTCTAGTTCACCAACTATCTTAAAGGGGAATTCCACATTTTTCAACATTTCTGCATTTTTCAGTCGTTCAGATGTAAAACAAAGTCATTCAAAGTGGTTTGATGTAAAATTGTGGACTGTAGAGAAATTTACCAACTCAGATGTCTTTATCGGGGTGGTGATAGGAACCTGGTGTCATGATTTCTAACACAAATAAATTTAATTAATATCCAAAATCACCAGTGAATCTACACGTCTTCAGAGTTTTTATATGTAATGGTAATGATGATAAAATACTGGTAATGTATCAGTTAGTTTTAGTTTTAAGTATATCAGTAAGTATGTATTAGATGTAAGTATTAGATGAAATCTAAACAGACAAAGCAAACTCAAAAGTTTGGGAAGAAATATTTTGAGGCTTAAAAAAAATCAATAATAATCTACCATAGTAGTTCTCTGTCACATACATTTGATTATTTTTTTCCAAGACCATTAAAATACTACTTATAAATAGTACGTTATATGTCAAATATGTATTTGTGTCACATATACCAAAATTCTGCCCATCTCTGTAACCTGAAGACAATTCATATAATGATTAAAATAATATTATTATTATAATAATACAAATTAATATATAAATTATATGATATTTATTTCATAACCTCAAAATATTAAGAACATCCACTATGAATTCACTTCCATTTTCTCTCTGTAATTATTTAACAAAGTAGGATTTTTCAGTTAGGCAGACATATTAAGCCCAAAGTACAGCTGGAATGTCTCTCACATCTGGACTTAAGTTATCTGGCTAAACTTAGAAATCCTGCTGTGTGAAATATCCACCTCGTTATACTATTTCTGTTATGTGTTACGTCCCACAAAACCAGCGTGACTGTTCATTGTCATCAGGCTCAGACATTAGATTTGCTGAACTGAACATCATGGTGTATCATGGAGAGAGATGAAAATAAAGTTTTCGTTGTAGTTGACATCCAGACTTACTCATCTCTAGCGTAATTAAATATCGGGGTGAATGAGAATAAAACTGACTCAGACTAATCATTGTAATCTACAGAGCCCCTAAGGTGACATGGTGATTATTTTTTAATAAGGCGTGGCCACAAAATACTAGATTGAGGCCACAAATTAAGTTTATCATAACTCATATCCTGAATATAATAATAATTTGTGGCCTCAATATAGTAATACTGGCCTCAATATAGGAACTAGAGGCCTTAATATATTCATTTGTGGCCACGCCTTATTAAAAATAATCATCATGTCACCTTAGGGGCTCTGTGGTAACCTAAAACCCCGGAATGAAAACTAAACGGAGGGTCGATTCACTGAAAGAGGCAGTTCTACAGAATCGGTTCAGTAAACTGAATCAAACACCATCCTAGACTATGTGGCTTTTTTCCTCTCGCTGTGCCGACACCACGCCCCTCGGTGATGACGTTTTAGTTCCAGCGCTCTTTCATTGGATGATACCGTGCTGTCAGCACAGTTTGAGCGCTGATTGGACTGTTGCTGCTCTTAGTTACACCACGCGTAGTTAGACCACGCGCCGCGGATCGTCTTTCATTACAGTAACGTTATTATTATTATTTAGACGGTGAAACTGTGAAAGGCGCTTTTACTGAGACACATTAAAATTACAGATGCACTGTGTGTGTTTACCCAAATCATTGGAAAAAGAAAAAGAACACACTTTTTCACCAAGTATCACCAAAATAAAATCAATATTACATCACCGCTGTAGGAGTGTGTTAACCAGGATCTTATGAGGCCCAGTGTGAGAAAATAACGAGAGGGCCTGCAACAAAACTGACCAATCAATACTACTAAGTGTTCAGTACTACTAGCTATTACTGTGGCTTCTTTGCAGGACACTGCACAATTGTGCAGATTGCACAAATGCACATCTTTATACACAGATTACTTCAATGTATTTTATACAGAAGCATATGTACACTGTGAATAATATATATATTTGTGTGTTTTTTAAGGACACTTGAACCGATCTTTAGCTGCAAATTTCATTTGTGCTCATACTGTAGTCTGTGTTTTTACAGCTGTTAGAATTTGTCAGCTACAACATGCACACACTAAATACTATTTCAATGCAAGTCAATGGAACCAGACTTTTTTCCTAGTCATTCTGGGTCATTTCTGTTGGTCCATTCATCATGATGTTTACATACAATGTAAAGGACAACAAGCATTTTCAGATTCTGTCAAAAACTGACAGCAGCAATATGTGTGTGTGTGTATATATATATATATATATATATACACACACACATACATATATATATACACACACTGTACAATCCAGAAGCTGTCTGTTTTTCGGTGCACATGAAATGAAATTCTTGACTCTTTAATCTACTACTACTACTAAAATTAATAATAATAAAAAGAACAAGACAAATATTGCTTATTTACTCACTACTACTTTGATCAGCATATTAGTAAGTCAGAGTCTTGCATCTAAAATTGCAAAAGCAGCAGTGTAAGGGATCAAGTAAAGATGTTACGAGGCCTGGTCATCTCTGGCGCCTTTGTGCTAGGGGCCCTAGTGCAACCGCCCAGCCAGCACTGCCGGTAGTTACACCACTGATCCTAAGCACATATCCAGGGATTTTTAATCACAGTCCACTTACATTGGTAAAATTCTTGAAAAATAACTTTTTGGCTGTAAAACAGGTCAAGTGTCTCCCACCGCACCTCACAGACAGCACCAGCTGGAACCATCCGTCTCAGCTCTCTCTCCATACATTTCCCAAATATATCCTGAATTCCACTCTACAGACGTCAGACATTTACCAGGTCAGCCTGGTAGTGAGGCCTGGGTCATCCTGTGGTCATTACACCCTCTAAAAGATAACAGTGCAAGAGGAGGGAAAGGAGGGTCAACAGATCCAAGACTAAAATAGTAATTTACTAAAAAAATTGTTATAGCACTGTGTTCCCTGTTACAACCTTCAGACTATACACTTCATTTTTCCTCCTCTAACATATCTGACTGAGTTTATGAAGGTTTAGAGTGTCAAACGGGAAACAGGAAAGGGCCTTACCCAAACGGTTGCAACAAATTAGGAAGCATAGAATTGTCTAAAATATCATTGTATGCTGTAGCACTAACATCAGCCTTCACTGGAACTAAGGGGCCTAGACCAACTCTTGAAAAAAACAGCCCCAGACCATTATCCCTCCTCCACCAAACTGATAGCACTATACAAAACCCAAATTCATCCATTAGGCTGACAGATGGTGAAGTGTGATTCATCACTCCAGAGAACACCATTCCACAGCGCCAGAGTCCAGTGGCAGCATGCTTTACACCACTCCAGCCGACGCTTGGCATTGCACATAGCGATCTTAGGTGTGAGAGCTGTGTAGATGGACAAGTTGTACATAATGATAATCGAGTCCATTCTCACATTATCCATAACCATCTGGTTTGGTTCCTCCACCTCACAAAAATGAGCCAAACTCCAACTCATGATCAGGACAGCGGAGCGGATCATTGGATATAGTCTGCGCTTCAGGACATCTTCAATAGCAGGGAGATGAAACGTGCTGGCAGAGTAACAGCTGAACCCTCTCATTCTGGACATCACCTCTTCCTGCCTCTGGAGAAGATTCAGGGCCATCAACGCCAAACAGACATGCTAACAGCTTTTCCCCCAGAGCTGTTAAGCTCATTAACCACGGTGGGCACCTCCCTTATTGTATTACAGTAACACCTCTATAACACAATGCTTGTTTGCACAGCTGTACAAATATTTGTATCTTTTTACAAATGTTCATATAATTCTGTAGTATTTTTGTATTTAATAGTTATTATATTATAAATCTACTCAGACCTGCATATGTGTATGTATACATATTCATATCTGCATATTCACGTATCTCTTTAGCTCCTTTCACATTGGCTCCTTTTCTTTATTCTATTGCTTGTATTTTTTTTATCTGTCCCTTAGGGCTTACTTGTCAACACTCTGTTTACTTGTCTGGTCTGTTCAGGATGTCACATGTCATGCATGTGTGCACTCACCAAGACAATTTCCTTGTATGTGTAACATTCATGGTGAAATAAAGTGATTCTGATTCCGAGATGCTCGGAAACCCATTTGATGAACAGTTCTTGCACTGATGTTGCTTCCAGAGGCAGTTGGAACTATGATACAACAGAGAACAGGTATATTTACATGCTAGCGCTTCAGAACTCGGTGGTCCCACCCTGTGAGTCTGCATGGTCTTCCGCTTTGTTGCTCCTAGATACTTCTGCCAAACTTGCGGCAAAGGTGGCATCCTATGACAGTGCCATGTTTAAGGTCACTGAGCTCTTTAGTACGGCCCATTCTACTGCCAGTGTTTGTCTATGAAGATTGCATGACTATGTGCTTGATTTTGTAAACATTTCAGCAATGAGTGTGGCTGAATCACCAGAACTCAATAATTAGGAGGGCTGTCCACATACTTTTGGCCATATAGTGAAGACACACTGATATTTTAACACCTCTTTGTACAAACAGCGCAAATGATACTACAGTTGCTTTCTAAACATGACACAATTTGCAAGGATAGAAACACAACATTTCTCACCAAAATCAACTAAGATTTTAATAATAATCTTTATTTTTTTTTGCTTTGCTGTTTCCATCCACTTTCAAACTATTACTCATATTGTAAGCTGAAAGAACAGTAAACACTAAAATAATCCTCTCCACGTCATAAACAAGAGTTTCAATGGGGTGCCAGTTTCCAATACACACATTACCTCAGAATGTGAAATAAAAGTGTTAACAAATAAATCAGTGTGATGTAATTTTATGAGTCATGCATTATCATGTGTTATTTGACCTCAAACATATACCAATAACACAATACTGAAATCAAGTATACTTCTTCATAATACAGTTTCATAAATTAATTGAACATTTTTGGCCAGATTAAATATCAGTTTGTCAACAAAAACATGTTCAAGAGCATTCATTTGGATTAATTCACACATGACCAGTGTTACATCACTTTAGGTAAGGGAAAAATAGTAAGTTAAGATTTTCAGGAGATTTTCAACAGGCATCAGTGCTCAAAACAACAGCGCCGCTGGATGCTCCAAATTTCATTCATGTCAAAACTGCACAGCCTTTCTCTCCTTTTTCTATTGACCATCTTATATCAATCTAAAAGCCTGAATAAAAGCAGACCACACATCCGTAAATGAATCAGCATAAGCAGCCAAAGTTCCCCTCCCCTTACAGTGTCTGTCTACTGTAACCTCTTTGGCAAGACACAATAATTTATATACACAATAACATTTTTCCCAAGACTGGCTACTATTTTGTTATTTCATAGAGTAAAAAACATTAAATGTCAGTAAACATTAAAGCCACAATCAGGAATTTAAGAATTCTAGGACTCAAATTGGGACTCAATATACATGAGGCAAAACCCTCCTATTATAAATCATAAATGTGAACCATTTACTGTATTTCATATGTAATATAAACAAAAACAGATTCAGAAATAGCTGATTATGTCATTAGGGAACTCCAAACGCAGCAAAATCAACACATTCGGGGAATCTCACCTGATAAAAATAACTGCAAAACATTGTAAGAGTTAAGCAAAGGGCAAAGTATTTTCACCTTGTTTAAAAAGTACAGATGCTAAATATTTGCTCACTCTTTTTAACCAGTTCCTTCTTTGTTAGCATGTGTCGTTCAGCGCTCAAATGAATGCAGAAGAATGTCTGTAAGACAAGCTTTTGGGAATTTTCCATTTGATTTTGCCTTTTACTAAAAGGTAGAAAAAAGTGGGGCTGTTTGGCTTTTCTCACTGTTTGACCACACTGACCTTGCATAGAGAAAGCTCTGGGTATGTAGTCCTTTGCTGTTATTCATTGGAAGTAATGTCCTTGATTGTTCCTACTTTGTCTATTAAAAACTGCTATTAATAAGGAAGTGAATACTTGATTGTTTTTAATTGTGGCAAACACAGAAAACTCAAACAGCAGCAGATGAGACGTCATGTTGGATAGCCCTCTTTCAGTAAAGACAGGAATCCTACGCTTAGATATCTCAAGAGAGCCAACCTGGGCAACCAAAGGTAATGAGTTCCTGGGGCAGCAGGGGTGAACTTTATTGGCCCTGATACACCAAACCAGTCATCATTGAGCGTCTTAGGCTGAGTGTCGTCCACAGATTTTGCAGCCAGCGCTGGTTCGGCTTTGAGAGAGTTGTGTTTACTTAATCAGTGCACAAAAAAGGAACATTAGCGAGCAAACAAACCAGGCTAGCTAGAACATCAGGGTCCATACTAGGCCAGGCTAGTTTGTTTGTCTTACTGATTCTTTTCGTTTTTTTAGTTACAAATACAGACTACTGCCACCTGCTGGTATGGAGAGCTGTTTCCTTTCAGAATGTACGTGTCAGCTGTCAACTGAAGTCTTCCAGACTTTTTACAGAACACGTAAGTTCTTCAAAGTCAGCAAGTAGCAGTGTATCAATCATGAACATCAGGGTCCATAAATCTCCTGGGAATCTTCCTGGTCCCCTTGTACCCCAGTGTACTCTGTACTACAACGGTCAGGGCCAGACACAAAGCCTTACATGGCCTGTAACTTTCCCACCACTGGTCAGACGTCTGTGCTGATGGCACGAGTGTTGGAGTAGAAGTCCGGCAGGGTGTGGGAGCTCAGCGAGGTGCTGTGTGTGGAGGGCAGTGTGAGGGACAGAGATGGGCTGTCGTGCTGACCGGGCATGTAGCCGATGCGCTCGGCTCCGTTGCGCGTCTCGTCTGTGGCGCGGATGTAGTAGGATGAGCCGTAGGGCGAGCAAGTGGGGCAGAAGCTGCGGGCCGAAAGGGACAGGGGTGTAACGCCGGACCCGTCCAGCCTGGGCGGGCTGCAGGAGTCGCAGGCCAACTGAGCCTGAGAACAGGAGGTGGAGTCGGGATCAGACCCATTCTTCTTACAGCAGTAATACTGAGCATAGTGAGAGAGAAACAGCCAGAAATGAACATGATTAGCAGAGACAGAGCAGAAATAAAGCAGGGTTAAAGGGCCCATATAATGGAAAAAATCATATGCACACTAAGTTGCAAACAGCCCAATTTAAATTCATTATGGTTGTGATGTCACAACCATGAACATATTTATATTTAACCAATTATTCAGCCTACAAACTTCTGAGGATTTCAGTCCGAGGTGTCAATTTTTGATACTCCTTGTGAAGGAGTCAGCCAGAACAGAGGCATTTTGATGCATAAAACCACATTTAAAATGCAAAGACATATAAAATATGGGCGTTTTAACCAACCAGTCCTTTCAATTTAAGCCCTTCAACAATGAAAATTAGTTTGTTAGTGAATCACAAAACTACTGATGCCTGCAAGTTTGGTACCCCTTAAATAGAATGGATTCAAAATACATATTTAATCTGGTTATTTTGGATCTTAGTGATACTGAGATTGTGATTAAGCGCATGAATCATTGAAAGCAGCCTGCGGTGCCACACTTTCCTTCAGAGCTCACCTGGAGTCGGCAGTAGCAGAGCACTACAATGATACACAGCAGTATCACCGTTGCAAGTATTCCTCCAGTTATGACGACAGTTCCCGCTGTCATTCGACCTGATCTCCATTAAACCCTGGCAACAAACAGAGGCACAGGCTTAGAACAGACACATACAGCTTCATTGTGCTATTTTAGGCCTGAAGTCAAAGGTTCTAACGCTCCTGGCTGAATTTCACAACTTATTGATTACATTTTCTTCTCTGAATATGTTAAATTCAGCAAATAAACAATGATTGTATGTTAAAATGTGAAAAATTGTGTTCTCTGTAGAAGATGTGTCAACTTACTTTCACCTTTTCAAAATCAACAAAACGTAATTTGACCAGGGGCGCCCAGACTTTTACGTACGACTGTACATGCAAGGTAAATTTCAAACAATGTGAATTTGTATTTTTAGATGTTGCATTCAGCATTTTAGGTATTTTTAAACTCATTAAGTGATCATTAATCATTAATAGTCTATATATATTTATTTTTATGTGGCCACCTTTGAAATACAATTATTTTAGTATATAATCTTATTATACCTTTATTCTTAATGCAATGCAGCTTTTTTAGTTATTTTAGAATTATCTCTGTTCATCATCTCAAACTTCCTTTTTTATGGTTACACATATATATAAACACTGTTTCCAAAACAGTCAAAATGTAAATAAACAGTTAAAATGCAAAATGCAGTGATGTGTAAATCATTTAAATCCTAAACTTTGCTGGAAATAGAATAAAGACAACATATCAAATATTGATATTGAGAAATGTTATTATTATATATGTCCATTTGATGCCAACAACATGTTTTTAAAAAAGTTGGGACAGGTGCAACAAAAGACTGGCAAAGTTGTGTAATGCTAAAGAAAACACCTGGTGGAACATCTCACAACTAATTATGTTAACTGGCAACAAATCAGTGGTATGATTAGGTAGAAAAAGTCTTTCAGAGTCTTTCAGAAGTAAAGATGGGAAGGAGTTTGCCACTCTGTGAAAGGCTGTGCGGGCAAACAGTGCAACAATTCAAGAATGACGTTTTTCAACGTAAAATAGCAAAGAATTCAATATCATATCCTTGAAGGATTCAGAGAAGCCAGAGAAATCGCTGTATGCAAGAGACAAGGCCAAAAACCAATACTGGCTGTCTGTGATCTTCAGGCCCTCAGGCGGCACTGCATTAAAAACAGATGCTATTCTGTAGTGGAAATCACTGCATGGGCTCAGGCTCATGCAGCTTAAAACTCTACCATGCAAAGAAACCATATATAAACAGGTTCCAGAAACGCCGCCACCTTCTCAGTCTTATATGCTTTATCAGCGCACAGTTCAAAAGCCAGCATCCGTGAAGGTATGGGGGTGCATTAGTGGACATGGCATGGGTGACTTGCACATCTGTGAAGGCACCGTTAATACTGAATGATATATATACAGGGTTTGGAGCAACACGTGCTGCCATACAGATGTCTTTTTCAAGAAAGACCTTGCTTATTTCAGCAAGACAATACCAAACCACATTCTGTACGTATTACAACAGCATGCCTCTGCAGTAAAGGAGTCCTGGTGCTAAACTGGCCTGTCTGCAATCCAGACCTGTCACCCACTGAAAACATTTGGGACACACACGTACATTTTTTAAGCCGCTTATCCTTCTGGGTCTTGGGGGAGCTGGAGCCTATCCCAGCGGTCATTGGGCAGAAGGCAGGAAACACCCTGGACAGGTCATCAGTCCATCGCAGTGTACATTTCACATATTATGAAACAAAATATATGTCAAAAGTGACCCCGAACTGTTCAGCAGCTGAAATACTAAATCAAGTACGAATGGGAAAACATTTCACTTTTAAAACTACAGCAGTGTCTCCTCAGTTCCTAAACGCTTACAGAGTGTTGTTAAAAGAAGAGGTGATGCAACATGGCGGTAAAAACGCCGCTGTCCAAACTTTTTTGGAAAGTGTTGTTGGCATCAAATTCAAAATGGGCATATATTTTTCAAAAGACAATAAAATTTCTCAGTTTCAACATTTGATACGTTGTCTTTGTACTATTTTGAATTAAATATAGGGTTTAAATGATTTGTACATAATTTTTTTCATTTACATTTTGTTCACTGTCCAAACTTCTTGGGAAACAGGGTTGTACATATATATATATATATATATATATATATATATATATATACACATGTGTGTATATGTATATATGTGTGTGTGTGTGTGTGTTAACATTAATATATATATATATACATACATATTTACACACATACACATATTTAAACCTTTATAATGTATGAACTATATAATAACAGTATACTGACTGTCCACTTCTTTAAGTACACCATCTTGTTTCTACACTCATTGTCCATTTTAGAGCACTTTGTAGTTCTACAATTACAGACTGTAGTCCATCTGTTTCTCTGCATACTTTGTTAGCCCCCTTTTCACCCTGTTCTTCAATGGTCAGGACCCCCAGGACCACCACAGAGCAGGTATTATTTGGGTGGTGGATTATTCTCAGCACTGCAGTAACAGTGACATGGTGGTGGCATATATAACAGAGTGAAAGGGGGCTAGCAAAAAATGCAGAGAAACAGCTGGACTACAGTCTGTAACTGTAGAACTACAAAGTGCTCTAAAATGGACAATGGGTGTAGATAATGAAGTGGCGGTTGGTGTACAACAATAGTAGCTTTTTTCAAGAACGTACACAGATTCACATAAAGATGTAGCAATTTCATAATAAAGCATAGAGGTGAAAATGCAGACAGCAAAGAAGACCACAAGATGGCGCTCTATACCCATTCAAACCAAATAAAGTCTTCTTCAATAACTGAAAAAACAGCAGGGAACATATTTCAGCAGAACAATAGACTACACCCAACTACATTTGGGTGGTGGTCTATTAAGTTAGTGCATAACATAGATTTATAATATATAGTATATAATACAATAGAATACATAAATAACATTTCAGCATTTCCCCATCAGATCCAAGACGTGCACACAGTGGTACTGAAACTCTATATCATATCTGTATCACCACAAATATCAAATGTGTTTCAGTATCAGTTTCTTACTGCCCAGAATGGACATGTAGTCATCCAATTTGCCGCTTCCTGTTTGTGTATCCTGGTGTGTCTCTACAGCAACAAAATCAAATCCGTCTGGGCAGAAGACTCAGTTGCACAGCTCATATTCACCCAGTCCACAGCACGCTGGACAGGAGGGCAAAGGGGCAAAACTGTAATAGCAATCAGATGGTCTATTATCCAAACACATAATCGGATTCAAAGAACTGTAACCTGATCCTACAGGCGGGCGATAAAATGATCCTGATTTGTATTGACGTTGTTTTCCTCAGGGTTCTCAATACTATTCATACTGAAAATTAAAGGGGAACTTTGTCCAAAATGAAACATGAATAAAATGAAACATCTGTTGTGAACATGTATGCTTGCCTCCTACAGTGGTGCCACAGTAGCCTCTAGAGCGAGATTTTCTAGTTTACAGACTAGGAAATGATGATGTATCTCGAAGGTGGGAGAAACTTTTGAAAACCTACGAGCAATTCGGAGCAAATACTGGAGGGTGGGCTGTTTGAAATGTTTTATATTTTCCCCTGCTACCTGCCTACATCAGCGGCTAAACCAGCAGTCAGGATTTCTTCATTGCCCTGTGGATGGTTGTTTGACATATGTGCCTAATGCATGCTGGGTATTGTAGTGAGAGAACACTGATGGATGAAAACACAAACAGGATCCAAACAGTGAATTCTCAGCCAGTGAGGCTGAGGTATATAATGTTGCACTACAGAATATTGCATAACATAATGAATACCATATTACACTGCAGTTTTAAGCTGGAATGCCTCTTTAAGTATAAAAAAGGCATATAATAGTTGATCATTTTCACCGTAGACCAATATAGAAATATTATATCATTATTTTTATTAAAATATTGTGATACCATTTTTTTGTTGTTTCAATGCTACTGGCTCAGTCAGTTATAGGATAGAACGGGTGGACAGACACACGGAGAGATCAACAGCTAGAGAGTGTAGTTAGAGAGGGGTCTCAAGAAAGAGAGAGAGGGAGAATGAGCGACAGAGAGACACTGACAATTATGGGTGTCTCTCATTTTCAGAATGATGGAAAACCGAAGTCGAATAATTTATAATTGAGGGTTTTATGTTGGGTTTCACATTAAAGGGCCCATATCTTACATTAGTCTTATATTTTTAGGTCCACCTACAACAATTTGTAACCCAGTTAATGAAATGCAGTTTTTCATTATATGAACCCTTTAAAACCAGTAAATCAGACTCTCCCTGAATTGATATGTTACTGGGTCAGTTAGGCATTAGACAGATGGACAGACAACCAGATGGACAGACAGACAGATTGATAAAGACAGAGCGAGAGAGATGAGCAGATGAGAGATAAGGGGAGAGTGTGAGGGAGAGAAACAGAGAGAGAGATGCAGAGATAGAGAGACATACACTGTTCATTGTGAGTTCTTGCTGTTTCTATTCTGTCAGTTGTATACAGGCCGTGCTGACAGAGGAAGTGTTGGGTCAAGCAGCTCGGCAGAATTGAATTTGACCAGGAGTGCAGATTTGATTAAGGAGCTGGCATGATGAAATGCAATCATGCAGCTGGATGAGGATAATGAAGGCTCACAACAGGCTGAGAGAGAGAAAAAGAGAACGAGAGAGAAACGGAGACACCTGCTCCTTCCTCTCTAAATATTCATTCTCTCACTCCGTGTGGGAAATAATTCATCACTGTGGATAAAAGAGGTCTGACAGGTTCTTAATGCAAGGATTCAGTCAAAAATGATTTATATATTTCTCCCTTTGCTCTAAATGTAGTCAATCTGGGAAGACGATTGGAGTCTGAAGTTAGTGTCTTAGGTACAAGGCTGTCTTGCAGGCACTGTATAAACTGCATGCCTGAATCAATCCACACCTCAAACCACAAGTTGTTACACAGACTCACTCATCTATTTCTGATGCTGTGTGACATTGTGCTATCTGTAAAAATGGAGAAGTTCATTACAAGTACATACATATCTGTACGAATGTCCTTAA